CAGTATCAACCTTTCCAATTCAGAGGAAGTGTGTGATTAAATTGACACTGGACACTATCCAGTGGTTACAGCGGCACCCATCATGAGCCAGGTTGTTGCTGTTTGAATTGGAATCTTGGTGTGATAGGAAACCATCCAGTCATGGCACTGAGAAATCTGACTGATTTGGTTTTATTAACATGGTTTGGTTATTATTATTGATAACCAAATTTTATTTGGTTAATTTGTGTAATATATCCAAAGATGGGTTGTTTGGATGTTCTTTCTTAAAAAACAAATTTTGCAGTTATTTGTTTTGAATAATTTTATTTATAATTATGCTAGGAAGGTAAGCCATAATTAAGCTGATAAAAAGAAAACAAGTATTTTAAAATACCTGGAAATAAAAACCTGTCTTTGATGGTTAGTGTTCTGGTTTTGGTATTATGGTAGTTTATACGATCTTAAAATTTACCAGTTACGAAACAGTTGGAGGTGATGAGCAAGATAGTTAAGCACAGAAATCACTTGATGCTTCCATGTAACTGTAAGGGACATTCCCAGAAGTCAAAGCCAAAGCAAGAAGTGGACTTAGATTTTCTTCAATTTGGTGTCATGATTTGAATTCAGAATCTAGGAACCTTCAAGCTAAGAAATCAACAAGAAAACCCTGGAAGATATGGTAGCAGTAGATATATTTTTGGAGGACGTGGACGGTGATAGATACACCCTAAACTCCGGTGCTAAAAGGATTCTCATAGAAAATGCCAACAATATATACAGCACACAAAACTGTAAAGCCCTTAAAGGAGTTCACCTTGACAGAAGCAAACTCTACATTCATTGGGATTGAAACCATCGCTGCTTGGCCCCCAGGACATTAAACTACTTTCTCTCAGCAGTTTTAAAGTAGGTGCACACAAATGTTAATGACACAAGCAGGGATCGCAGACTTGAGAAACTAATGCCACTCATTTTATTTAATATCTCACACAGTGCTCTAGGTAGTGTAAATGCAACACGGGGGTAGCAGTTCAGAGAACACGAGAGGTACAGAAGTAACATGTGGACAAGAGAAAACTAAGTGGAAGAACATTACTTCTTTTCCCATTGAATAGTGCAAACCAATCACTCTATAGCAACCTGGAAAATGAATGTCCTTGTAAACTATAGCGTGATGACTTTTGGGTCTAAACTTAAAAACTGAAGTAATGACTAATACAGATATGATTTATGAAGTATTACATATCCTTATATGGTAAAGTTAAGATAGATCTCCCATCTATAATAAATTATGTGAAACATCCCAGGCATAGCCATATAACACACAGTTTGAAAGCATATATAGGGTTCTGAAGACTACTTTATTATCATCCAAGAATGAAATTCATAGTGCTAAAATTCATCTTAGAGATAGATCCTTTTTGGTATCTGAATGACAAGACAAATTCTGAAAAAAAAAAAAATTATGGCACCTGCAATGTGTTAGGTTTAGCAAAGCAAATGGGGAATAATTGAATTTCACTAGTAGACGGTGACATTATGGGAGTCAAATGTTAGCTACTTTAGATGGGAATCTCAATTCATGTAAATTAATGTTATATAGAAGTTCTAGGGAAATAAACTTTCTCCAAAGATAACGAATTTTGTTATAAAGTCCCTTTATCATTGACATATATACCATGAGGACAGAGTTCTCTCATTCTTGCCAGCTGTTCTGAATGTGCTGTGTTGAGGCTAAGAGGTTGTCAGGTGTCAACTTTCAGAAGCTCATATTCCATGTGGGAAAATGCGCAGCGCTTTTTGTGGCAGAAAGGGAGCTGTTTATTGCTTGCATTCTACACTTGACTCAGGGCTTCATATGAACTTGGTATCCATCCCTTCATAAACTGATGGATGACTCACACTTGGCCTACGTTCCTCTGTCAGGGTAGAAAGAAGTATAAAAGTTGTCACTTTGACAGTAATAATCGCATGTAGCAATAGTCATAAATTTCCCTTTTGTGCCTCTGGGCCTAATCTTTCATCTAAACTCTCTGTTCTGCTGGAGCTATTCATGGAAGCCTGTTTTGCTTATTTTCATACTGACTACCATTTCAGGTAACAAGTTCATGACGGAGTTAGTTGAAAAAGAACTTGGCATTTGGTTATTGCTTTCTTTGTCATTGTTCTTTCTTCTTTTGTAGCTTCTTTCCTAAGAGAAGCCTTGATGGAGGGGAGCAGAGGGAAGGCACTGTAAGCCTCTACTTATAAAAGAACACCATGTTGAGGATCATTTTTTTTTTTTTTTGGTGCGTGTGGTAGTTTTTACTCTTTTCTTTATTAGACAAAACACCTTCCAGCTTCTGAATACAGAGTTTTAAAACAGAAAAAGAGGGGAAAAAAAGTCAGATGATGTAGTCTTGGAATTTTCAATTTTATTCAGTGAAGATTGAAGGGATGTTTTTGGATCAAAAGATACCATATGAAAATTGAGGTGAAAATTCAGTTATTAAATTTAATTAATTTTATGTGCTATCAAAGTTTATATGAGAAACATGAAGTTCACATGACTTTCTTGTTCTTTCTAGGCAATTTTCAGGTGCATTAAAAAGAACTAGGTTTGTAATCAAACCATCGAATCATGAAATTTAACTTTGATTTCAATTCAAGAGTTTTCTATATGTGCATCATTTGTGGAAAAAAGTTAAGTTTCAAGAAAAAAAATCACTTCTCAGGAAGTGGCTGGGAGTCCCATCGGCAAGAGAGAGGAGGGATTGTATGAGCGAGAGATATCGAGACCATGATTGGAAAAAGCACAGGGACAAATAGCCAAACTAGTGAACCAATAGCTGTGAACCAATAGCTGAGGAGCCCCCATGGAACTGGACCAGGCCCTCTGGAGAAGTGAGACACTTGATGAGCTTCAACTGTTTGGGAGGCCCCCAGGTAGTGGAGCCAGGACCTGTCCTTGGTGCATGGGCTGACTTTTTGGAGCCTGGGGCCTGTGCTGGGATACTTTGCTCAGCCTTGGTGTAGGGAGGAGGGGACTGGACCTGCTTTGGCTGAGTCTACCAGGCTGAGCTGACTCCCCAGTTGAGACCTTGCCTTGGAGGAGGTGGGAATGGGGGGAGGATTGAGGGGTAGGATTGGGGGGTGGGAGGAGGGAGGATGGAGGAATCCGTGGCTGATATGTGAAATTAAGTTAACTACAAAATAAAAATATTAAATAAAAAAATCAAGGTGTTATTAGACAGAGAACAATTATGAAGCATGATTTAAACATCTGTCATATCATACATGATTTATGTGTAAAGCTAAGAAATGTTATTTTAGATTAGCTAGGGTCAGGGAAGCGAAGATTTAGTAACATATGTTGATTTAAAATGTTTTACACAAGAAATTTACTTCCCTTAGTCTGAGAAAGTTCTTTGGAAGGCAATTTTCATGTTCTAAACAGAGTGCAATAATAGCTTTTCAATTATCCTGTATTGAAATGTTAAAAACAGATGATTTTGTAGTTGATGATTTTGACCATGGCTTAGTAAATACATATTTCTGGACCAATGTTTACAATGTAAATATAAATTATTAACTCAACTATCTGTGTAGACTTAATTGTCTAGACAATTGTCTAATTGTCTTAAACTAGTTCAAGAATAACAGACTATGAACTATTTAGTAAATATTATTGAATGCATGCTTTACTTTAAAATACATGCATTAAAATTTCACAATGAGTGTGCACATGTGTGTTATAGACAGGACCACCACTTCTTTATAATTTTAATGCTATTCATCTGTATATTTCATGCTTGCTTTTTTTTATTGAATGAGCATACATTTTCTGTTGCTTCATGGAATTAGCTGTTATTTATCAATGGGGAATTAGGACCACATGGAACAATAATAGCACATGGTCAGTGAACTTGGGACAATAACAGGAAACTACGTATGTAATGGATATTGGATGAGTTAGCCCTTGGGTACTTTGAAGTTATTGCAAAGGAAGTATCCGGGAAACCCCAAACAGAAATAACTGTTGTATAGTAACTCTGTAATCAGATGTTGTTTGTTGTTGAAGCCTATCTGATAAGTGAGAGGGACAGGGGCGAGACAAGTCATGGAATCTGCTGTAGGAAGTGTGCACCACTGTCCAAGTGTGGCTTTCAGTTGCTTGTGGACTCAGATCATCTCTTTGGTGTTCATTATGAAAGATGAAAGCGTTTCTCCATGGCTGCTCGAGGCAGTCAATTGCTCCTGGAGAAGAGTGTCCTCCTGCTGCAATAAGAACTCTTTCTTTGCGACCTAAACAGGTACTTGTCATAGAGGATGGCAAAATGGAATATTAGGAAAAGTTTTCAGTACCCATTGAGCTGTTTTGTTTTCTTTTTAAAGAGAAGTATTAGAAAAAAAAAACATTGTTTTCTTTTCAGATCTACATCTGCTCTATAACATTTAACAGCTCTGTGAGCTGATGAAAATGTCAACTTGTACTGGACCATAACAGGATTCCAGTTGAAAATACATGCACATAGCTTCAGTTTAACTTTTAAGAATAAGATCTTACACTGTAAGGAGAGTTGGTTAGATTTCATTCCACCTGTCCCCAAAGGATACAATTTTGTAACTAATAAGACATGGATAATGAACACTTAGGAATAGTGGTTATTTCATGATGCTAGAAGAAGATAAAACCAAGTATTGTTTGGATGCTCCCATCTTTCAAGTTACAAAAGGCTGACATCGGCTAAAAAGGTGTATGAGGTGCAGGTGTGTGGCTGGCTGTAACTAATACGGGCCCAGGGCTCAGGCAAGAGGCTGCCTTGCATTGCTAATGAGAGACTCAGCCAAAGGGTTGACTGTGAGTTCTAAAACCTCAGATGCTGTGTGCAGAAAGCCGGGGCTTTTCTTTCAGTTGCTTTATCCCATAACTGTGTTTATTTGTGTGTGAGCACACAGCGAATACTCACACTTGTAAGATGTCATCATAGTGAAGACCAATAATTTGGTTTTGGTTCAGGGAGAAAGACTCCACTGAAATGAACATTGTGAGAAAACTCAATTTAATGGTACCTTGGAGTGTTTTCTCATTTCCTATACTGCTGTTTTCACTACAAGGTAAGAACTTTTGTATTTTTTACCTTCATTTATCATGTGTCGTTCTCTCTTGAAATTGATATAGCTTCCTTTGAAGTTGATTCTCAAGCATTTTGAAGTCATTAGACTAGATATGTACTAAATAGCATTCAGACAGTTTTACTGAATTATTAAGAATGCTGAGAATTTCAATCCTTTTCTTGATATTTTTTACATTTTCTCTAGTGGGTATTTGAAACGATGCCTTTATCATGATGGACTGCCATTCTAACTTACCCCTTTCAAACATGATTCACAACTGTTTGCTGTATGTAATTTAAGCATTTGAAACTTTGTAATAGAGTGGAATATAGTGTTTCAACTCGCTTCATATCATTAAAATCTAAAAGAGTTTTTTTAGATCTAACTTTAGCATTTGCATATAAATTAATTCAATTTTTGTAGCAGTTTGACCTATAAATTAATTTTTATGAAATGTTTTTATGGAGATGGCTTTTATTGATATCTAATTTTTACTTTTTGATCCCTGAAAAAGAGTCTATGTTTTGGAACTTTCTGTCATGGAAGAAATGACAGAAAGACACATCGAAGTCACTACCTTCCAATCAGAGTAGCACTTTACTCTCAAGGAAAAGATGTAGCTGCTGTGCTGGAGGGGCCCTGAGGTTGGCTTGTTCTACATGATCATTTTGTGGCTTGTTTTGTATCATGGTTCTGCTTGCCAAATACTAAGTGGAAGGGCCAGAACTAGAACAGCTCTGCGATCCCATGTCCGGCCCTCGCTCCATCGTGTGATGCCACTGTGTAAATCTGCAGACATTGACCATAGTTTCTGGATTATTGGTCACCTCAGGTGTATCATAGATTATTTGCTGGTCAGAGTCCTCTAAAAAGAATAAAATAGCTAGCAGCAATTCTCAATCCACATTTTAGAATTGGATAAAAATGATTTGTTGAACAGCAGAACCCAGACCAAGCTATTTGTAAGTCTTGCAGTCTCAACAATCTATATTTGTCTCTGGCAGGATACATTTCTGCATCATCTATCCTAACAGAAACATCAGAGTGAGTATTTCTTTGTCTTTATGTTCTGAAACATCAAAGGAATGAGAATATGCCAAGCTTAGCAGACAGTTTTGTCCATTTTTTAAAAATAACAAGTGAAACATTGACAAAAAGCACGAGATGTTCTCCTTTGAAATATTTTGAAACACTAGAAATGAATGGGTATTCACTTTTCTATTAGTAAGAAGATCTTGGTGTTGTCCACTACCTGTAGGTCCTAGAGAAACATGTCTTTCATTTAACAGATTGTAAAGAAATTATATCCAATAATATTTTTCTTTACATTTCACTGTTGACATACATTATTGACTGCTTAATGTATTATTGTTGCCATAAAGTAAAACTGATCTTAGTGATTACATGACTGAAATGGTTCTAGTAATAAATAATGAAAATAGTTTTTACTGCTTTGCTTAATGGAAAGCAGAATTATGATACAAAATAATATAAAGTATAAAATTCCATAAAACAGATGTGTAAGTTAATGAATTAATGATTTGATTTGGATAACTGACAATTAAATGTCCTTACATTTTTGTATCGATCTACTTTTAAATGACATAGAACAGATGAAATTTGAATCTTACATTTGGAAAGGCAAAAGCATCCTTGATAAATATCTACTTCAATAGACTCATGAAGTTTTAGGGAGAATAAACTATGCCTATTGGTGCTACAACACTACACTATTTTGTTTGTTTCTCAATCTCAAAGTTCCTTCCTAAAATTCAGTTTATATCAGAGCCCAGAGAGATCTGGGGACAGTCCCGAATTTTGTAAAACGAGACAGCTTCACCACCCAAATCTCACCCTTCCAAAGAAGGGAGGGGGTCCTTTAAATGTTAAACCAAGAAAGGCCTCTTTGATAAAGTGATGGAGATCTGGAGGAAAACACCAGCTCCCTCTTGGGAAAGGCTGTTCAGATTGCTCAGGGGCCTCTGACTACACAAGTTCTTTGTGTTTTCTTGCAGAAGTGAGTTTCATGAAAATGAACAGAAAAGAACTCTGTTAGCAGTACAGGTAGGTTAAGCCTCAGATGGAGAGAGGCAAAGAAATAATTCATTCCGCTCTGGACTCTGCTGTCACTTCAACAATGAGACCTTTGTGGAGGGAATGAAATGCTAAAAACAAGACAGGAAGGAGCATGAAGAGGTGAAGGCATTTCTCTGCAAGCTTTTATTGTATTTTATTTTTTGCGACCCTCAAATATATTCTCAAGTTCACATTGGTTTGTTTGGAATGAAACACTTTTGTTCTTTCCCCTCGTTCATCTCAGTAACCTGTGCGTAGGCTTCAGTGTTGATGTGGGTTGGATACCATCTATAGACAAATTTCTAAATAGTCTTATTAAATAAGAAACACAGAGCCAAATACAGGGATAATAGCCAAAGAGATCAGAAAAATAGCGAATAGCCATGACTAGTTTTTCTTACCACCACACAGTAGCTTGCCCAGAGAGAGACTTCTCTTCTAACCTGTGTTTTTATTGCCTTCCTGTTCTGCCTTCTCATTGGCTCTAAGCCCAGCCACATGACTTCCTCGTCACTGCTTGACTATACAGACCTCCAGGTCTCTATGGTTGATACTGGGATTAAAGGCTTGTGTCACCACTTTGCTTGACTGTGTCCTTGAACACACAGAGACTCTGCCTGCCATGTGATTGGATTAAGGGCGTGTGCTACCACCACCTGACTTCTGTTTATGGCTCACTGACCTCTGATCTCCAGGCAAACTTTATTTATTAACATACAAATAAAATATCACATTTCAGCACAAATAAAGTATCACCACAACCATCTACTTGCTGGAACATTTGAATGATTTAGAAATTAAACACAATATTGGGTAGGACAATAGCATCAAGGTGAACACACCTAAGAAAAAATGAAGGACTGGGATGATATGAGTTAAATACAGCAAAAGGGCACTAGACATATCCTGATGTACTGACAGACAGCGTTTGTATTTTCTAAACCATCCAAATTATGGGTGTTTCTGAAGAGTAGCATACTGTGAATTTGAGAACATTTTGCCTGCTTCCTCTTATATATGAAGGATACTGGGTAACATGATTGCATTATCATTAAAAATGCAACACATATTTACATAGTTAATTATTCTGCAACACAAACAAATGTAGCACATCTTTACTTAGTTAAACAAATATTCTACTCCACAACACAGTTGTGATGTTATACTTTGACAATTTAGAAGACAAAAAAATTCATTTTTGTGGAAATTAGAGATTCTTATGTGTGTGTTTATATAGTTTGGTGTATTTGTACTTGTATAAGTGCATTTACTGTGCTTGCACTGTGGAGGCCAGAATTTGATAATAGGTGTTGTCTTAGTTAGGTTTTTAATGCTGTGAAGAGATGCCATGACCACAGCAACTCTTACAAATGAAAACATTTAATCGAGGTGGCTCACTTACAGTTTCAGAGGTTCAGTCCATTATCACCATGGTGGGGAGCATGGTGGCATGTAGGCAGATGTGATGCTGGAGCTGAGAGTCCTACATCTCGACTTAGACGAAACAGGAAGTCAACTAATTAGTCACATTGAGGGAAGCTTGAGCAAAAGAGACCTCAAAGTCCGCCCCCACAGTGAAGCACTTCCTCCAACAAGGCCACACTTCCTAATAGGGCCATTCCCTTTGGGGGCCATTTTCTTTCAAACCACCACAGGTGTCTTTTTCTGTTGCCCTATGCCTCCCTTTTTTGAGACAGAGTCTTTCACTAAACCTGGAGTTTGCTGATCAGTGAGCCCCAGGACATTCTCCCTTTAATGCTGGTATACAAGGTATATGGAACTGTACCTGGGTTTTAAATACAATGTTTTCATTAATTCTTTGAGAATTTCATATAACATATTTTGATCATACTCACCCCATCACCTCCCCCAGCTTCTCCCAGAGCATCCCCAGTCTTTTCATGCCCCTCCCGAATTAATGTAGTCCTTTTTTTTTTTTTTTATAATTACTCACTCATTTCAGTTTATGCTGCCCATATACTCATTGGCGTGGAGTTACCCACTGGAGAATGGTTGACCTACCAGGAGCCAGTGCTGTAAATAAAACCTCTTCCAGGAGTCCTGAGCTGTTAGTAGCTCCTCAGTTAATGGTGGCAGTGCATGATCTCCCCCCTATTTCATGCTGGACTGTTGACTGACTTCATTTTGTGCAGGTCTTATTCAGACAACCACAGCTACTGTGAGTGCATGGGTCCAACAGTTCTGTCATGTCTAGAAGATACTGTTTCAGTCCCCCCCATTCCTGACCACTAGCTCTTACAATCTTTTGGCTCATTCTTTCTCCATGGGCACTGAGCCTTCGTTGTGGGTTAATATAAAAGATTCATTTGTGGCTTAGCACTCCACACACACGATTTCTCTGCACTTGGATTAGTTGTGTGTTTCTTTGTTAATCACTGTCCAGTTCATGTTGAAATTTCTCTGAGAGCTGAGCTAATCTATAATTATAGAGACATGAATTTAGAAGGCAGTTTGCTACAATGTCTATTTAGGAAAATAATAATAGTTGGTTCACCTCTGGGGCCTTTGAACTACTCGACCACGGATTCTTGGCCAGATTTACAGTACCAGGCATGCGTTTCCACACACAGGCCTTAAATCCAATTAGAAAGTGCTTGGCTGACCCTATAACATTTGGGCTACCATTGTACCAATGAGCACATCATGCCGTTCAGACCACTACTGTAGTTCACAGGGTTCACATCTAGGTAAGTCATCAATAGATAACTTCCCTTATCCCCTGCAGCCTCCTTGGCACCTTTTGGTACTCTGAAAGCCAGCCAACGGGGAATAAACTTCTTTACTCAACATCAATTAGATTTCTTCACGTCCTGTGACCAAAGTTCACTGTACATGGCTTTGGTGTTTTATATGGATGTTGGAGATTCAAACTCAGACCCTTATGTTTCCATAGCAAGTACTTTATCCACTGAATCCTCTTCCTTGTAATAGGGTCTTTAAAAAAAGTCTAGAATAGCAGTGGAAATAATAATTCAGTTTAAGGAGTATTTTGTATTTGAGAAGCTACAGTAGGAGAATTGTAAGTTTCAGTTTGACCTGGGCTGTATGGGGATATCGTGTCTGAGAACAAAACAAACCCTCAAAAGAATGCTTTCTGTACAAAAATTCTCATGTATCATGTGAAGGAGTTAAAATGAGTTTTCTGTGATAATTTTGAAGGACATGCTTGCCAGTAGAGCATGTTAACCACAAAAATCCATCTGTATAACTCAGTAGAAAATATATCGATGAAACAAACAAAAAGAAAACCAACCTCTTCCATTCTGGTGAACACTCTGGATTGAAAAATTTGTGTGAACTGTGCCCTAAAGGTGCATATAAAGAGCTGTGTGGATGGAACCGATCCACTGTGCATTTATATGTCATCGATACCTGTGTGATCTGCCTACTAGGAGTTAGGTTAATCCCTCTCCTCTGTTACTAAGTAGGGATGCTTTGCCTTGGAGTCCATTTTAGGCAGGATGAAGAGCAGGAGGCTTGCTTGCACTTCCATTTTCCTGTGGCCAGTGAACACGTGTCAAGTTCATTTAATGTCGATTAAGTTCTCAAAGGAGAAATAGGACGGGGAGCAATGAGGTCATGGTCATGCAGGGCGCTGCTGAGAAAGAGGCTGGAAGGCCATTCATGCTCAGTTCATTCCTCTGCTGCAAGCAAACAGCACTGATGGATGGATGACTGTCTTCAGAAATATGCTGGCAGTGACGTAAGCAAGTAAAGCCTCGGCATAGACTTCTATAAATGGCATGCATGTGAGTGTTACAGGGATTTCTCTATGCAGGGCGCATCATTATGGTGTTGACAACTCTCCTGTGGAGGTGCCATCAGGAAGGAGAAAGAATGGGCTGCCCTCTTTCATCAGTTATATGGACATTTGCACCCACTACCACATTCTTTGCCCTACATTCAGTAATTTCTTCCAAAGCAGGCACTGAGCCCAACCAAGACTTGGGCGAACTGTTTTTGGGAAATATACAAAGAAGGATCAGACAAAAGTGAGAGGAGAAAGGAGGAAAACACAACACAGGACATGTTAATGGGGTGCTTCCTGATGGAGGCATGTGGGGCTTGGTCTTGTTAGGAACATGATAAGGAACCGTGTAGCCTGTCACTCTTGCTTCTGCAAGGGATGGGGAAACTGGGATATTTATACATCAATTTCTGTTTCTCTACTGATCAAAGAGAGGAGCTAGTGTGCCTTAAATATCCTAAAAGTCCTGCCTTGATTCTGTCCTCAGGCAGAGATAGAAAGAAGGCTGGGCTTAGAGTGGGAGGATCTACATGTCCACAGAAACCCAGGTGAATCTGAGATGGGCTGAAACCGCATTCTCAGTCTGAGCTCTAAATGCCATGAGAGGCAGCTTCCCATTTGAATAGTATCTTTTGTTCCAGTTCAGTTTGTACCTGTTGCTGACACACCGGGAGTCATGGTTTATACATATAAACAAGAATAGTCATGCTTGTAATTTAGAAGTTCCATGTCTTTGGGGATCTGTAGAAATATAATTTCTGTTCCAATGGTTTATTGAGTCCTAGTCACCATGAATTATTTGATGTTATGTACATAACACATAAAAAGAAAATGCCCCACTTATCAAAGTGGCACACTATTCTAAGTTCAGATAGGCTCTGTGCTAAAACTGAGCGTGAAACTTTACACTGGTGAAATGTATTATTTCTGGGTAAACAGAAGGGATGCTGAATTTTCAGGAAGCTGGTGTGCTAAGTGATCATTGGGGTTTCTCTAGAGGAGGTCAGAGATAAGTGGAGCAAGAAACAAATGTATGTATTTGCTTTAGTCCAGTATCACACAGTGTATTCAGTTTAAAAATTAGAATTATTTATTTTTGTGTGAGCACATGCATGCATGTATGTGTGTAGAGAGAGAGTGTGTGTATATGAGTGTGTATGTGTGTGTGTTCTTGTGTCTTGGCATGCACATGAATGTCAGAAGACAACTTTTGGGAGCCTCTTCCTCTTTCCATCATCATGTGGTCTTGGGAACCCAACTCAGGTCATTGGACTTTACCTGCTGAGCTATCTTAACAGCCCCTATATTCCATTTTCATTTAGCAATAGAGGTAACAAGCCTATCATTCTTATTATATGAATGATGGTATTATTAAAGTGTTAATTATTTCCCTTTATCCTCATGATTCTATAAGGGAGATACTGTTATTCCTTTTTACTTATTGGGAAACTGAGGCTTCATGGACTAGATAATTTGTTCAAGTACTTAGGCCAATGTGAGGTTGAGTTGAAGTAGCTATACATGTGCCATACATCAAAGATGATGGATTGGTTTCCGTTGCAAGGATCAGCATAAATTATTTCAGAGCCAAAGAGCTTCGAAGATGGTGTGTGCCCAGTGATGTTGATGCCCCTTTGATTTAGGCCGCTGGAAACAATATGGTGGAAGTGAGAATAAAACTTGACATCCTAGCACAACAATTAGGGTGTTTGGCCATCCCATCACCAGAGTAGGTCAGTTCGGGCTGTCTCTGAGGGATCTGGATGCAGAGATCCATGACTAGGCCCTGGGTGGATCTCTGGGAGTCCAATCAACGAGAATGAGGAGGGTTTATATGAGCGAGAATTGTTGAGACCAAGGTTGGATAAAGCACAGGGACAAATAGCCAAATGAATGGAAACACATGAACTATGAACCAATGGCTGAGGGGTCCACACTGGATCAGGCCCTCTGAATGGGTGAGACAGTTGATTGGCTTGATCTGTTTGGGAGGCATCCAGGCAGTGGGACCAGATCTTGTGCTCATTGCATGAGTTGGCTGTTTGAAACCTGGGGCCTATGCAGGATTGTTTGGCTCGGCCTGGGAGGAGGGGACTAGACCTACCTGGACTGAGTCTACCAGGTTGACCTCAGTCTGTGGGGAAGGCTTTGCCCTGGAGGAGATGGGAATGGGGGGGGGCGTTGGGGGGAAGGTGAGGGGGACGGGAGGGGGGAGAACAAGGGAATCCGTGACTGATATGTAGAACTGAATTGTATTGCAAAATAAATTAAAATAAATTAAAAAAAAAAAAAAAAAAAAAACTTGACATCCTGGTGGAACCATGGTCATAAACTGTTGGTTGAGTCTAACTTGTTTGAAGACGAGACAGAGAAAAACAGAAGAGACTGAGCAATGAGGATAAAACATGGACTAATTTGTGAGGAGGAAATAATGAACTTATGAACTTGGAGCCATAGTATGGGAAAAGAGGTTAGAAGTGAATCTTTAAGAGTCTTCAACAAATGGGAGAGTTTAAGAGTTGTGTCATGTGACATGGGGCGAGTTCTCCTGATGAAAGAATGTACCGAGAGGCTAGGGAGATGGATTGGTAGGTACCTGCTGGGAAAGCCCTAGGACCTGGGTTTAGATCCCCAGTAAAAAGCCAGGAATGGCCTTTTACCATTAATTCCAGGATGGGGAGAAGGAGACGGGAAGATCCTTGGAGCTGATTGGCTAGTCAGTGAACTGAATCCCTGGGCTCAAGGTTCAATCAAGGGACCCTGTCTCAGAAATAAGGTGGAGAGTAGTTGAGGAAGTCAGCAAACGTCAACCTCTGACCTCCATAGGCAAATGCACATCCTTATGTGTACACAGATAAACAAGCACAAACATGCTACACACACACACACACACACACACACACACACACACACACACACACACACACTACTGAAATGGAAAATGCCCAAATCAAACTTGTTATGTGTAAGGATGATCAGAATTAGAGAAGAAAGGACCTTGTTCCTCACAGCACATCACTCATCCTTCTTATCTTACATCTCCTTCCAGTTTCCCTAACATCATCAGCTACTTAATTTGATAATCATGGTGCAAAGTTTGAGCGTATGTCTACAGGTGAAAATGAAGTGCTATTGGTAAGGATACGATCCTGCGCTGCATATACAATTGGAATTGAGTTGAACTGAAAATATGTAACTGATGAGCTTTAATAACCTATAATTGTTTACAGTAAGTCTTAAATAGCACTATTTCATAACGATTGCTTAAGACAGCGTCAGTTTCTTTATTTCTGGTCTTCTGTGGAGAGCACTACACTACACTGAAGGTTTAGAGGACAGCCTTTTACTTCATCGTTATACCACACACTGAAGCTGGTGTCATGACTGTTCCCATTTTACAGATGAACAGATGGAGGCATTAAGCTGATAGGAAATGTGCCTAAGCAGAAGTAAAGGGTCAGACGGTGTTTCTGTGAGTGGTGTTTTCACAGTCAGGTCACCGCTGACTGCAAGTGTACCAACCCTGTGTATTTTCCCCCTGATTCATCTGTACCTGGAAATGTCAGAGAACTGGTATTTTTTTTTTTTATGAAAAGAATCAGCTAATATAAATACACTTCTTCGGGAATCCTTTCACAAAGGGATGATGGACACAGGTTGCAGCGAGGGGGATGAGGCACAGAGGATAAATACCTTGCCCAAGTTATCAAAGAGACAACAAGAAGACTTGAAGTCAGTTCTAAACATCACGCCAAGGGAACCCTCCGGTTTCACTGAGATAATCTCAAAAATAGAAAGATATGTTAAGCTAGCACTTTATAATTTCTGTATTTATAAATGCTTTCCAGAATGTTTTTCATTAGCACGTTTGGCTTACGGTAAATAAATGAACTAATTTACATTTTTATTTCTCTGTTTTAAAGTTTGAAGCAACCTCTCCAAGATACTTTTTCCATGAAGCTATAAATTGGGGCGAGAGTAAAATAAAAGGTCAGTGTGGGGAGCTGTTCTTTTGTACACGGTTTCTGAGGAGATTCCTTCAGGGGGTATATTAAATCAATTCTGATTGTTTCCATAGATACTGGAGGTACTGAGCCAGGGTAGTAGTAATAGTAGTCATTGCGCTCCTGTCCTATACAAATCCAAAGTATTTTTAGAAATGGCCTCAACTAAACATTTAGACAAAGCTGAGGACAGTGTGGCTGGAGAAAGCACCCATGGGTATCAGAAGCTTTTCTTCTTTTGTCTGAACAAATGACCTGTTCCCTGACACTGAATTTTGTCTCAGCAGTTTACTATTTCCATTAAGCAGAAAGCTGGTGGTAGCTTAAAATGTAAAGAAACAGAAGCAATTCTTATCATTATGTTTAAAGCCACAGTGATTCCTTTTAGATTTTTTTTGATATTTGCTTTCAGGAGCATAAGCAACTTCGTAAATACATCTTTCAAAAAAGGATATATTTGTTTATCTAAATATTTAGACAACCACCCTTTGGGAAAATGTAGGACTACTTGATCCAAGACCAAGTTTAAAGATGGGTGCATCTCCTAAAAACCAAATTGCTTGTAAGTTTATGAGAAACATTATTTTCACCTTTATTTTGGTGAAACAAAGTTCTAAGTTGAAACAGTTATCCCTCACCTAAACTTTACCTAGAGATCTGAAGGCTTTGAGTTGTAAAGAGAAATCAGTGGATGTTTGGGAGGGGGTGGGGGTAGGGGTGGCGGGGTGGGGGGGTGGGGATGGTAACAGAGCTTGGTCCTTCTTGTGTTTGGCGGAAGGTGTTTGTTATTGCATTTGATAAGTGCCTTCACCAACATGACATCTTCCAGACAGGCCAGGCTTCTTTAGCAACATTTCATAGTGACTCAAAGATGTTTTCTTTGCTCCTGATATGTTCCTGGGGTCCTCTCAGCCTGAGCCTTGCCAGTTTCCATTGTCTTCTCCTTAACAGATGAAACAATTTTATTAGGACTCATTTTCCTTCTTAAATTAATTCAGGAAAAGCCCAGGAAATTAGAGAAAATTCATAGCAATTCACTTCCTTTTAATGTATTTATTTGGGGCAAGTTTTCTTTCCACAAAAAAGTTTTTTTTTTTTTTTTTTTTTTTTTTTTTTTTTTTTTGGACAACTAGAAGGGACTTTTGCTTCTGCCTCACCTTTGTTAGACACAGATTCCAAAGACTGAGTCATTTATAACCGAGCCTCAGCAAACCTCAAATGAAACATACCACCCTTCTCATCAAAGGTGGGAGAAACCTTTGAGTTTTAGCTCTGTTGGAGCCCTCCCTGCAGCGAGCAAGGTCTGAGTTATTCTTCAGCACAGCCCTTGCTCCCGGAGAAAAGGGCTGGTGGGATGCGTTCCAAACTCGGTGCAGGGCATCATCTACAGCTTGGGTATTTCTGGTTCTCATCATCTGGGACAGGGATTCCTTACATGGGAACTTGACCTTCCCATTGCTCGAAGGAGGCTAACCTTTCCTCGCAAAACACTTTGCGATGTGAAAGCCTGTCTCTCTGGTCTCACAGCACACATAATGAAATGAACAGATAGAGATTTGATGGCTTAATTCTTTTGCACCACAAGGCAAAAGGCCCGGGTTCTGTTTAAGTTAGTAGTGTTACAGTTAGTCCAAGCTAGATCGTGACATATTGTGTTTATATGAGCTGATCCACGCCAGAAGATAAGTTATTATTTTGCCCCACAGGTTCTTGTCCTCATGAATGCCTTAACGGGGCTTTCTGTTCTAAGACCGGTACGTGTGACTGTCAAATATTCCAAGCTCTCGGGACAAGGTGCCAGATTGGTAAGTTTCAGGGATATTTATGAGAGAATTATGGGATATGAAAGAGAACATTAAGTCATGATTTACTTGGAAGTGTTCGTCCTCTGGGATTTGGGACATTAGCTAGAGAGCTCCAAATTTATTTTCATCAATTTGAAGTAATTTAGAAACACTGCAAAAGAAAATAGATGTGTGCACTTTCCCTTCCCACCGACCTCTATTTCCTCAAGTATTTTTTTTCTACTTTCCATTGCACTAGCCCAGTAGGACCATCTTCTCATTTATCTCTCTCTTTTACTTAGTATATTTCACTTCTCTTCTTTGTATTCGATTAACCGGATATTCAGTATATAGACAGTCCTGAGAGTTCTTCAGGCAGGCACACGGGATTATTTTTCTTTTCTTTTTTTTTCTTTTTTTTTTTTTTTTTTGGTTTTTTGAGACAGGGTTTCTCTGTGTAGCTTTGCGCCTTTCCTGGAACTCACTCTGTAGTCCAGGCTGGCCTCGAACTCACAGAGATCCTCCTGCCTCTGCCTCCCAAGTGCTGGAATTAAAGGCATTCTTTTAAAATATTTTTTATCCATGGTGTCTAAGGTGGGATCTTATGTTAATACTTATCAACAGCTATTAACTGATATTTTAACATTTGCAAGACTCTATGCTAGGCGCAAAGCAGGGTATATTTGTGAATAATACAGACGTGCTTCTGCAGCTAATGGTGCATAATCAATAAGCAATACTTAAACTTGAGTGCCCTAAAGGAAAGTTCAGGATGTAAGATGCACTGACTGCCAGGGAAGACTGCCTGCAAGATGAACCAGTCTATGTCTTTTCCTGAGTGGACCAGAGTTGGCCTGAGCTAATAAATTTAGGTAAATGTTTCGAAAAGGAGGAGACACTGACATTGACTCTTATCATTCTGTTTTCCCCGGAGTACATAAAAAAAAAAATCAATCACCGAGTGACTTTTTAGCAAATATTACTACTTTTTTTACATTATTATAAAGTGAAGCATTTAAAATATAAAAAAATGAGGGGACTATGAGATGACTCAGCAGAGAAAAAGTCCTTGTTGCCAAGCATGGTGGTGGTAGTTCTATCCCCAGAACCCACATATTCCTAGGTAGAAGGAGATAAGCAACTCCACAAAATTGTCCTCAGACACCTGCTTGCTGTGACACAATGTGATCTTATGCACACCACACCTACAAAAATAATAATAAATAATACAAATAAAAATAAAATTGAGTAGGAGCTTACCTAGAGTAGAGGCATGATCATAATAGATGAAGTTCTTTGATTTAAAATAAATATTGCTTGAAATCTCACCAGTTTGAGGTCATCATTTCTTGAGATTCCAGGAAACCAAATGACTAATGCTTCCAGCTCCATTTTCCAGGCATATAAACATGATTTTTTTTGGGTCATCATTTATTTTTCTATCTGGATACCATAAAGACATTTTTAAAAGAGTTGTGGAGACTGGTATTCCCATGCCGTCTGTGCTGTTCTAGGGTACTCCATGGTGACCTATTTTCTCTCTCTCTCTTCTATTTTGATTTGAGTTGCCCACTTGCTTTCATTTTCAAAAAGTGCTCACTGGTGGTGTTGGCGTCACCATCTTGTTGTATTACTTTCCTCGCTCTTCCTTTTTTTCTGGATCTTTCTTTTGGAAACAAAAATTAGGGGAGGTTTCTAACATAAGTCTTTTCTTCATAGCAACTTGGCCACTGGGTTTTCTTTAAGGAGTTGGGTAGTTTTAAGAGCAGCTGATTCTTCAAACGCTACTGGTTTCTTCCTGTGCCATGGACTACCCAAAGAGGGGGAAATACTTATTTTAGTGAAAATTGCAATTACTTATTGTGACTGAATGTTTTGAAATAGATGTGATTTATTTTACACTACTAAATATTATTTTATTTCTTTTTAGTCCCAAACATGGGAAGTGGCAGAGATGGGATTTGCAAAACCTGGGGACAGTATCACTTTGAAACATTTGATGGAATCTACTATTACTTCCCAGGAAGCTGTTCTTATATATTTGCAAAGGACTGTGGTAATTTGGAGCCTCAGTACACAGTATGGGTAGGTGGTACTTGAATTTAATCAATTTAAAAAAAATACCTCTGGGAAATAATGTATTTCAAAAATATTGGACAAATGGTGAGAAATGAACAATTATTATAGAAAAAACACATAGGGCTCTACTTTTAATAGAATGGTCCAAATTTATGGCCATATTAGTGTAATTCTATTGAGATGATGACTGGCATGTTAGCAGCAGGGATTGAAGCCATGCAGGATCATCTTCCAGGTTGTGGAGAAATATGTATTTATTACCATAGCAACGTTCATCAATATCCCTGATGTTTGGGTTTTCTTTGGTAACTTGGAAGAGGATAAAGTTTGGGTTTTCTTTGGTAACTTGGGAGAGGATAAAGTCAGATGTTAATAATCTTATTCCTATTTTCTCTCTCTCTCTTCTATTTTGATTTGAGTTGCCCACTTGCTTTCATTTTCAAAAAGTGCTCCTTCTGGGCTAGGGAATATAGCTCATTGGTGTGGCAAATTTTAGCAAGCACAAGGCCCTGGTGTGGATCCTTGGCTCCAAAAATAGATGAATAAATAAAAACATAAAACAAAAGCAACTCAGAGCCAGGTGGCGGTTGCGCACGCCTTTAATCCCAGCACTTGGGAGGCAGAGGCAGGCGAATCTTTGTGAGTTTGAGGCCAGCCTGGGCTACAGAGTGAGTTCCAGGAAAGGCTCTAAAGCTACACAGAGAAACCCTGTCTCGAAAAACCAAAAAAAAAAGCAACTCTGTGTGTAGAGGAAGCCAATGTTTATGAGAGGGACAAGATGAATTATGCCATTGATAGGTAGATTCATGCTGCATGATGGAGCTCATAGAAGTAGCTCTTGGCTTCAGAGTTCCTAACTCCAATGAATTACTAGGAAATAACTCAAAATTCAGCAGCCAAAGAGCAGTAACTGAAACAAAGATACCAAGGATCTCCTTTCCCATTTACCAAAGCATCTCAAATCACAACTTGGAGAGTACTGTGCTGTCCCATTTAAAAACTAACTCTTTATAGACAACATATTGAAATTTGATGTTTGTTTTACTTCTAAATCATGCTGTAGCTGTCTGAATTTCCCCTTGTTGGGTGAAGCAACACTTTGCATCTGTGCCTTAGGTCTGTGATCCTCTAAGGCAGTGAGGTATACTGATTGTTAAATTTGGGGGCAGTGGGATAAATATAAAGTCTCTTGGGGAAGAGAAGAGTGGCCAAACTTGAATGCTCCCAAGGCCCTGCCCTCCCGTTTTCTCATTGTTACTTACCTTTCTGCTCCACCCTCCCAGAATTCTGGCCTCTTGAGCTCCTTTGACCTCTAACTAAAGTGTTCCTTTTCAGTGTCTCATTCTTTTGAGAACAAAGGTGTCAACGAGATAATCCGTCTTGGAACATACTACAGTGCAGAATGCAGAACCATGTTCCCACAGTTAAGGGATGGGTCCAGTTTTCAATGATGGAATTTTCTTTCCAACTAAGAAACAGGTTTACTTAAATGCAGTCTTGCTTATTGGCTATGAAAGTAGTTTACTTCTTTTTTTGAATATTTGAAAAAAAATCATGAGTCTAAAACTTACAAGGGCTGTCATTCAAGGAATGCCATTGTTAATGGTTTCATACATTTTCTTCTAGGATTGTTTCTTTGGATTTTATGCAAATTCATAAATTGAAAGGCTATTGCTTAATTTTCTCTATATTTTCACTGAATGTTATATCAAGAACTTTCCTCTGTGCCACAAAAGTTCTTAAAAAATACAAATTTTATTAGCTGTATTTTCTTCAAATTCATGGAGGATTCAAATGATTGAACAATATTCTATTTCGGAAATTTAGATTTAAAAAAGCAAATATTTCAGGAAAGGACTATTAATATGCATTTTACCTTTCATAGCCATGTTATTTTTATTTCAGTTGGCTTTTGTTTTTATGAAGGCAATATGTGTTCATAGTTTAAAATAGTTCATCAAGACATGTGTAACAGAAATGACTCTGCTGTTCTTCATTCTCCAGTGTAGCTGAATTCTGACACCCAGAAACAATTAGTCCAACTTCTTGAGCTGTTTCTTTTGTCTTATATGAAACTACGTGATGATTTTTGCAAGTTTCAAAGTTATCAATTATCTGTTCACTCTTGTTGTAGCAAATGAGGAATTACCTTGGTTGCCCTATGCTTTTTGCTTAGCTAAACACACCAACACACATATTTACATGCACATACATACAAACACCCAGGAATACACTCACGTCCCTGGTCCTTTCTCCTTCTATTATTGTTACATCATTTTTTTTTTTGACCAAATCAACCAGTAGATTTTATGTCATTGTCACTATGTGAACAGTGGAGAGCTGAGCACAGTGAGTTACCCCGATTTTGTTCCCTTCATGTGTTTTCCTAGGGTGAATGATTATCCCTTTGGTTCTTATTTTACCTCAGTCACCGATGTTTCCTCCACACTCTTATCCCTGTAGGTCTCTTCTCGATAGAGCCCCTCTTTCATGGAGCCTCCCTTTTCCAGCCCTCCCTTCTCATACTCCCATCAGACAAGCTGCCTCATAGGACTTCTGTCCACAGCACTCGGGGTTTCTTGTCGCCCTACTTCTGGAGACGACTCTTTTATTTCCTGTATTGGTTTTTCTTGTTTCTCGGATCCAAGGAAAGGTCTGATGATAGGAGGAACTTTGTCTTCTTGGTGAATTTGCTTTGAAAAGTTTCCTGAGTCCTTGGAACTTGTGGCCTATGCTTGCCGAGGTACCTGGTCCTGCTTTTGAAGTCCATTAGGCTTTTATTATTTATTTATTTGTTTGTTTGTTTGTTTGTTTGTTTATTTTATAGCCTGGCCACAGTTTCCCCTCTTTCCTCTCTACCCAGTCCCTCCCCCAACCTCCCATCAGTTCCCACCCCCACAATCCACTCTTCCTCCATTTCTGTTCAGAAAAGGGCAGGCCTTCCAGGAATATCAACAAAACACGGCATATCAAGTTACAGTAAGACTAAGCACCTCCCCATGTATTAAGGCTGGGCAAGGCGACCCAACAAACTCAGTAAGGTCACAAAAGCCAGCGAAAGAGGCTGCCCACTAGATATTTAACTCGATGTTGAGAACGAGAAGAGATATTTGTCTGGAAATTATGCATTGAAGGACAACTTTGAAACCTTGATTTTTTAATTTGAGTGGAATTTCTAGAAATTTTGAGTTCAATTTACTGATTTCTGTGAGTTTTTTAAATTCAACCTTTTCCTTGCTTCTTAAAAAGAAAGAAAGAAAGAAAGGAAGGAAGAAAGAAAGAACGAAAGAAAGGAAAAGAAAGAAAGAAGGTTTTTTTTTTTTTATATCCCCAGGTGTTGAAGATGTCATGATTACATGAGGCTTATAACTATTTTGTTGTTCTTTACATGAAGGGGCCCATGCACACCTTATGCTCCTTTATTTAGGAACAATATTTCTTCCTTTATTTCCTCTATTCTTCTTCTTCAGAGTTCTGATGATTACGTCTTGAAGTTCTTGAACTGAAGGATCTCTTCATTTTGTTACAGATTTTCCATCATTTGGCTTTTTTTTTGTACTACATTGTGGGAGCTTTCTTTCCAACTCTTATCTCTTCCTACCTTCTGATTATTTAATTTCTTCTATCATATTGTCAATGTTCAGTTATTTTTATTTAAAATTTCTTTTCTAAACAGTATTGAATTATCTTTTTAGAGATGTCATATGTTCACTTTTCTGTCTGCTACTAGTTGATATTTTAGATATATATGTACACACACACACACACACACACACACACACACACACATATATATATATATATATAAACTTTTTACAAATCATTTTTGATTTAGGATTCAATTATATAGATCACTTATTATACACCCAAAGCAAAAAAAAAAAGTTATTGTTTCTTTGATTTCTTTTTTTCATTGTTCTGTCTTTCATAGTATGGACTTTCATGAATATTTGTTCACATTTGAGAATAAATGTTTAAAAGCTGGTTTGGAACCACTAACATTTGGAGAGGGCTTGCTTGGCTAATGTGAGTCTGAGCATGGATATTATTGTTTCATTAGCACAACCCCCATGTATTGATATCTGTCAGCCTTCCCCTGTTCTGTTCTCTAAAGAGGAATCTTTCAACAATCTGAATGGGATTGGATGATGTTCCTGGATGTTGATAATGCTTTTGTCAAATGCCTTCCCCTAGCTGTTGTATTTATTATCTCTTTGGTTAAGGAGGCTGCTAGGTTTGCCCCATGCTTTCCTCTCAAGCCCCATCTTTCCCAGAAATTTGCTGCCTCGGAGAAGTTTTCCTTAGCCTGGCATCTAAAATCCTGTCCTTAAATCTTGATGTGTATGCCATATGCCTTCTCTTTGCTTCACATTTTTTAATGTTATCCAACACTATATATTTTATTTCTATTTAGTTGTACCTTTTACTTGTTTTCTTGCCATGGGATATAAATTTAAGGGAGGCGGGTATTTTTGTCTCTTTTATTGATGGCTATATTCCTAGAATGTGTGTTAGGTTCGTAATAAGTCAATAACATTTGCCACTTACATATTGAATTAGTATCTTCAAAATGTCTTATTAATAGTGTTTTTCTTATCCTTTTCATATTTCAAAGTTCTTTTGCATTTGTTTAACTACCTGTTTTCAGTTGCCTTGTGGTTTTATGATTTATATTTTAGTTTTTGAGCCTTCTGAAATTAATCTTGAGATAAGGTAAGAGAATGTAACATTCATAGTTTCTTTCCACCTGTTCTTTTTCTACTCCTCTTCCTTGTTTTATCTCTTTCCTAGTGAACTGAATTCCTCCTAACGTCTGAAGAAATAATTGCTTTATTCTTTAGTTTCTTTTTCTTCTAAAGTATTCATGAATAAGGAAAATCAACTTTATTTTAAATGAAGTCGAATTCACTTTGTCAGCATATAAATATTGCTTGCTATTGAGCTCCATTCAACATCCTCTCATGATAATCTATAGATAGCCTAACAGGGACATAAATACTCCAAATGTGTTTCCTTATAGTGGTTATGATTCTTCTGTCCAAGTAATTTTTCCCAACATATATCATATAGATTCAGAATATTATCATCTAACATGTAGAGGTTAAGGCGAGCTTACAAATATCCTGAATAACTTGCATTTTATAAAATTATTGTTCAGTTTTTGAGGTAAGTTTTATTTTCCTTTCAAAAATCTTAAGTGTAAGCGTAGTCCTCACTTTGTAGCCTATCACAGGGCTAGTGATGCTGTGAATTGTTAAGATACACCATGGGTTTAGTTATCCATGTGAATCCTTGCAGTTATTTCCCATGCTTTCTTTTTGTTTTCTTTCCTTCCAGGTCCATAACAGCCCAAAGTGCCTTGGCTCCGTGTATTCTTGTTATCGTTCAATCAGCTTATTCTTTTCAAACCAAGAGGAAATTAGAATATATGGTCATGAAATAAAAATGAATGGAATCAGGTAAGATGAGAAAAATGGTCTATGAGAATGACACCAGAGATTCACTGACATTTCATATGGCTCAGACTGGAAGTGAGTGACAGAGAGCAGAGTAGAGGATTTGTTCTTCAGCTGACTTTTTTTTTTTTTTTTTGGTTTTTCGAGACAGGGTTTCTCTGTGTAGCTTTGCGCCTTTCCTGGAACTCACTTGGTAGCCCAGGCTGGCCTCGAACTCACAGAGATCCGCCTGGCTCTGCCTCCCAAGTGCTGGGATTAAAGGCGTGCGCCACCACCGCCCGGCTTTCAGCTGACTTTTACAGCAGTGTCACAGAGACATCACACCTTCAGTGGTGCTGGAGCCCACCAGGCAACTAGGAATCTAGCTGGTCCACATCCTAGTGTGTATGATGCAGGTGGATTTGCAGAGGTGCACCCAGGATTGCCGTCTTCTCCTGAGGGCGTCATCAAGAACTATCTTTATGTAGTTTAATCCGGATTCCTTTTGGCCTCTTCAACGTTTTCTCTTTCCCTTCATAGAACATCTTACAAAAATTGACTATTTTCTCTTGGAAGGGATTCTGGAAGTCCTCCCAAGTCTGTGAGAATGAGTCTTGGGTGTCACTTGAGAGTCTGCAGTGGAAACTTGACAAAGATTCTGAGCCAGTAAATAGCTGTCCCATTGATAGATCAGAGCAGCCGCTGTGGCTTCCTGCTTGCCAACAACATGACCTGAGAGTTTTGGGGAAGGGGATGTTTATGTTAGACAAAGGTTTTATACAGTTAAAACTGGGAATCATGAGGAATAATTTCCCTTCCAATCTAAATAATTACAAAGACACCCAGTTTGAAACATTTCCTAGTTCAGCTATGCCAGAAAAAGTAAATAGTGAGATGGAACAGTTTTATCTATCATTCAGAACTCACTGTTGGATGTGTGAACCATGGGATTCCTTCCAATAGTACACTGATGATGTTTTTCCTCCATGGAGAGTCAGTCAGGGCCAGGAGCACTATTGTAAAAAGGTGAGCTTCAGGGAAACATCATGTTAGTCTGCAGCCAAGAGAAGCCCTCACCCCATTTAGAGATTATTTAATTTTTAATGCCTTTTTCTCTTGGTACAAGGCCTTGTCCTATGTTTCTTCTGTCCTAGTGCTTACTATGTATCCCAGGATGGCTGAGAACTCACAGAAATCCTCTTTGCATAAACCTTCTGAGTGTTGGGGAAACAAGCATGGACCACAAGGCCCAGATTTCTGGGCTTCTTGTTTTCTTATCATTTTCTGTTATTTTGTTTTAAGCAAAATTGGCATTTGTTTTTAAAGTCTTAGGTTTTAGTACAGATTTAAGCAAGGATGTTAACAAAGAATGTACATTAGTACATGCCATAGAATGACATACACACATACACACACACTCACACACACACAGAGAGGAAGAGAGAGACAGAGAGATAGAGATGAAGAAAGACAGAGAGAGAGATGGAGAGAAACAGAGACACTGAGAGACACAGAGGCAGAGACAGAAGATACTTGATTATTTTCTTCTAAAACAGTGGTTCTCAACCTGTGGGTCATGACCACTGGAAAACACATATTTCCAATGGTCTTAGGAACTGAGACACCACTCAGTAGCAAAGTTACAGTTATGAGATAGCAACGAAAATAAATTTATGGTTGGGGGTTCTTAAGACCGTGGGAAATATGTGTTTTCCAAAGGGTACAACCCACAGGTTGAGAACCACTGTAAAGAGAAAACTGACCATTTGAATGGAAGATAATATAGTTAAACATGCATTTTTCTAGAGCTGACTTTACATGGTAATTTATGAATTTTCATTTGGGCTTTTGAGTAATGGGCACTTACAATGGTCTTCAGGAAAATTTTCAAGAATACTAACCATTTGTTAAATGGAAGACATAATTGATTTCAATAATAAAAAAAAGTTCTACAAGGAATTCCAGTTGTGTTATAGATAGAGGGTGAATTTATTATTTGGTAATGCTTCTTACACTAATACATTATTATAATAATCATATTTATTATTATTATTATTATTATTATTATTAGTCATTAGTCTAGTAGGCTCTTGACAGGGGTCCAAAGAGGTCAAATGTGTATGGCTCTTATGTCTCTGGCTTTCAGTTCTCTGAACTATGAAGTAAGGAGTTTTGGTATAGATGAACCCCTGGGTACTTTCTTAGCATAAATCTGAGTATCACTGTCTGCTTACATTTTACATTTCCAGTTATAGATGGAAACCCAAACCCCACACACATCTTGCATAGAGTATGTCTTAGACTGACTAGGGTCTATTCTCCTACCATTCTCCTCTTCATCAGCACCCTTCTGTGTCATAAACATCAAGGTAATCACAGATACCCAACTTTCTCCTAAAAATACTTATTTAATTAAATTTACAGTGAAAGCGAGCTGACACTCAGAGATGACTGACAGATAACCACAGCAAAATCCCCCTCACCAGAGCTGCACCTCCCACAGATTAGCATCCCATTAGTGTAAAATGTGTTTATAAAATATGGTTCACTACTTTGAAATACAGATTTTTATAAACTTGTAAATTCAAACAAGTAATATTTTCATTGTTGTTTCTTACTGACTTTTACTATGATGTTTTTACATTAAGCTTTTAATCATAACTTTTTATGAATTGGTCTTTTATTCTCTAATTACAGTTCATAGTGATTTCTCTTTGCTTATAACTATTTTCTGTAAATATTTGTGTGTATAAAAGCTTTGTGCAAATGGTAAGAGATATTTTATAGTGTTTCTTTAGGAATTATCTCTTAGTTTGCTTACTTCAGTTTTTGCTGGACAGAGCTATGCTCTTTCTAGAACAGAAATTACTAATTTGATTTTTTGAGAGAAAGGTATGACTGCATCTATTAACCACCTATCTTACACCATGTTTTATAAATTTATTTTGATATGACTCCCTTAATAAAAGTGAGCTTCTCAAATTTATTTTATGATTAGGGCCTGTTCTTTACTGCACCATTTATAAATGGAAGGAGGACAGTGTTCTTTTGTTTTTGAAGTGACTCATTATGCGTTTACAATGTCCATTTGGTTAGTCCTTTTTGGTTGGAAGTAAAATGAAATAAAATTAGAGCTCAAGGACATCTGAATACTTTGAATATTGCTTGGCTGCACTTCACAACTGTTAAGCAGAATTTTTAGATTCTCTTTAGCTGTCTGGATAAAAAGTATTCTTTAACCCCCATTCTACCAAATTAATAGAGCTAGTTGCCACATTGAAAAGAGTATACATAATTTTCAGCTGTGTATTTCTGGTTTTTGAAACAACTACTAAATTTTAAGTATTAACTCTACATCAGTGGCATCTTCTTTGTACTTTAGTTTAAATATTAAATGTTGAAATGTCCCAGAGAATGAAACTTTTGGGGATCTCCCTGTATAGCTCATTCAGTAACTCTGTATAAAAATTCTCTGTCAATTATTACCTGAATTGTCTTGAGAACATGGCATGTATAACTATGACTTGGTCATGGTTCAGATATTACATTGTTCTGTTTTCCAGTTTATCTTTGCCTCAGACAGTTGGCCAGGTGTACATCGAGAAGCTAGCTGACTACATTCTGGTGAAAACTACCTTTGGCTTTTCGTTGGCTTGGGATGGAATATCGGGAATTTACCTCAAACTGTCTGAGGAGCACAAAGGGAAATCCTGTGGCTTGTGTGCAAACTACAATGGCATTCAGTCAGATGATTTTGTGATTCATCAAGGTAAGAAGATGGAACATGAGAAAGGGGTGGGCCCTTTAGAGTCTTCTTCCTTTGGCCAACAGCAGTTAGTATCCAGAAGACTTGACTAATGGTAGAAAATCTCTGGCTACTATTTTTCTACTCTGGTCATTTCAAGTGGAGGTCAAGTTGGAAAATGTTTTCTGGTTACTTGGCAACATTTGCTAAGCTAAGATGCAGCATTTGCTCACATAGCAAATGTTACCTGAGCATTTAGTTTGTATCAGGAGTTTCAGTTGCATGGGGACTTGGGAGCTGGCACTGATCAAAATGTGGAATTCCCCATTCTTGGAGTTCATATTCTGATGATTTAAACCATTTGGTTTGAATGTGTTTACTTTAGGAGAAAAGCTAATGAAGTAAAATGAGTGCCAGGTGATAGTTTTGTAAAGATGATGAAATGAAGTCAGGTTTTATCACTTCGCATAGTAACTGGGAAAGATTTTACATGCCTTCCTGGTCAACTGTTGAGTCTAAGGCATGAAACTCACCTCAGTGAGTCACTAGTAACAGAGTCCATTTCTATTTGGAGACTGCTGAGGGGTAAGAACACAGGCCATAATCATGATTCAGGTCCACATAAAGAGGCTAAATAAAAAAGAACATTGCTCTTAGTACCAGTGGACCTGACCTTCTACCTTCTACTCTTACATATTTCTGAGATTGGATCATTGACTCTTCCCATGGCTGTAAAAGAGGAACATAGCAATTCTGGACTTATAGTGTAATCAGTGATAGTTAAAATATACTTTATTGTTTGTCATAATGTCTGATATGAATATATAGCAACATTATTCCTAACCCTGATATCATCTTATAAGGTGTTTAGTATTTTCTTAATTTTACAGCAACATCACAGCCTCCAGTATAATGCAACTTTCAGTTGATTCTATTAGAGCTGGATTAGATGTTGTTAATGGCAAACAATTGCCTTTAAAGCACAGTTTGCTACATAATAGTGTTTGTTTTGTATTACAAAGTTAATGGTAGTTGTCCATATATGTTGTACTTTAATGGGTGTTAAAAGAACATTCTAAAGTGTATATTCTGGAAGTCAGAATGTGGGATAAAATTCTACTTTGTTAATTATTACATTTTCTAATTTTAATGATGTGACAGTATATATTTTCACCAAGTGGCAAGGATTAAGTGAGACAATTCCTGCAAACATGTAGATTTCCAGCATGTAGATACTACTCAATCCATTTTATTTACTTTGTAATTGTCTCTAGGTATCCCACAGGAGTAGAAAGATGTTTTTGTATAACTTTAACAAGCCCTTAGTAAAATGCAAACACATTACTCATACTACATGGATAACTTATTATCAGGGCTAATTTACCAAGAGATAGATTAGAGAGCCTAGCTCCACTGAGTCAGTTTCCTCATATATAGAACAGAAATAATGAAAACAATCCTCAGTGCTTCCTGGTCTGTGAATATCTAATGAGAAAATGTAAGTGGAATGTTCAGAAGTCTGTGAGTATAGTATAAATGTACAGTACTAGGAACACTTGGAAATGGTAACTTATCCATTGGGTACTGGGAATGAAAAGGCTTACAACTTTGGAATCTGGAGACTATGTTTGGAAGGAGTATTTGGAACTAACACAGAGCCAATCAAATGGCAATTATTAATTTTCCTTCTTTATCAAAGTTTCATGAAATACGTAATAATCACTCCAGTTCTTAGTGTGGGAGTTGGACAAGATTGCTTTGAATGACTTCCACCAGGACATTCAGGGAGCCTGGTATAGAGGTGAAGATGGAAGGCAGCATCTCTCTTGTTAGGGATAGGAAGATGGGCTAGGCATCTGTGTGCACCCTGGAGCTCTGGGGCAGAAAGTGATTTTTGGCAGTGAAGTAAGTGAAGGTAACGATCAAAAGCCTATTAGGTGATGAGCAATGCAAAGACTTGCAAAGTCAAACTGAATTAGGGCTGAGCTGTCAGGAGGGAAGAAGATAGACTCTTGAAGACCAGGAGAAGCCCAGAGAATGGCAATTGGCTCCTTCACAATCTGGTACACAACACGAGGTAGAATTATTAAAGAAATCTCATTTAAAATAACTTGTAGGTACATGAAACAAGTCTACTTTTGTATTTCTTCCAAGATTGTAAAAATACAAGGCAATTTCCAGAGGTGAGTGTGTTGTCTTTGGCCTCTACTGTTTGCTTGAAACTCAGCATGTGCTTTGCTGATCAGATCAAAAGTTGGATCGTTTGATGAAATACTAACTGAATATGTAGATTCCCAAGAGTAATTAGAACTGTATTTCTCTTTGCATTCCTACTTATCCTTCAAAGATGACTTCACAAAGAAACGAGACCTTTCAGAATTTCTGTGCAAGGAGGAAGGATTTAATTGGTTATCTAGTTGAAAATTCCATTTTCCTAGGTCATGTCTTGATCTGGCTTCACGCCAACACAAAGGTCCTAGTTTACTCTCATTTCCCTAACTTGAAAATTAGTAGTACTCCTTTACTATCAAAAGTGTTCCTGTGCACTCAGTGGGTTATTTTCCTTTCAGCATCTTTCACAGGAAGCATGGTAATTCTGGTTTGGTGGGCTCCTGGACTAACAGATACGGATTTAAAGTCTCACAGTAAACAACACACATGACTCTTTTACAATGCGACGTAGTAGAACTTGTTACTTGTATGAGTCTGAAGCCAGAAGTAAACTCTAAGGCGTTGCCCAAGCTGTTTTGTAAAACAAATGTTGAAACAATTGGGACTTTTGAAAATACTTTTTGTTCTTCAGACTTTAAAGAGGTGGTATTTTGAAATGAAACATGGCTATAGCTTTACTTAAGGAAAAAAAATCAACTTTTCCACTTTTAAATAAGTATTTTACAATGGGTTTTGTTCCGTGTGTAATGTTTCCAGCAACTTCAGTGGTCACAAAGGATGCTGGACGTGCTTGGAAGATCAAGAATATAATTTAATAAATATTGAGCACTCATCTATGTTCTTCATTCATTTATTTGGTAAATATATTTCGAGCATGTGCTGTAAGTTAGACATTAAACTAAGGATACAGGAATAAAGCAGTGAAGCTAGTCTCTCATTTATTATCATAGAAAGTAAAATAAATAAGGACACAAATGAAAGTGTAACTTTTATGAGAAATGGCAGCCTTGATAGAAAGTGGGAAATGAGAGAAGAACAACAGAACAATATGTGTTGGCAATGATCTAGAACTTGTTGTCAGAAGGTCACACTAAATGAGTCTTAAATGAAGAGAGGAAACTGTTGGGAGAGTGTTTTTTTTTTTTTAATTTGTTCACTTTTACAATAGTAGGAATTGAACTTATAGCCTTGGACATACTAGGCAAGAGTTCCATCACTAGCTACACCCTTGGCTTTCTTCTTCTTTTGAGACTGACTCTCACTAAATTACCTAGATTGACCTTGAACTCAACTGTAGACAGGGAAAACTGTGAGCTTGAGACCTTCCCGCTTAGCATCCCAGTAGAGTGGTTTTGGAGGGGGAGGCCCATGAAATCATGGGCCCTGAGTTGTGAATGAACAGCCCCCAAAACCAGGTGGCTGGAGAGGATTCTGTAAGAACTGGAGTAGGAGGATGAGTTGGGAGGCATGAGGTGGGAATGGCAGATGCCCACCCTGCCCAATCTTCTAGGCTATAGGCAAGTTTGGAATGTAACACAAAGAACAAGCATTCCTGTAAACAATGAATTTAACCAAAGTTTACTAGGAGTCCACAGATTGTAGCTTCCCTATCTGGAATTGTTCAGGGAGAGTGGGGAAACATTTCACTTGAGATTTGGATTAATTAGTACAGTTATTGCCACCTATGGCTGACCTCTGACCATCAAGTCTGGATGGCAGAAAATCCGAAGCTCCAATCTGAAATCCTTCTGTCTTAGATGTTTCTGCCAAGCCTGTGAGATTTGAGATTCAGCCTTTGTCTGACCATGGGGCAGGATTCATTTCCATATCTTGTCTTGAACTTCTTCAAAGGCCAGGTGGTACCACATCTTAAATCTGATCTGTTGCAGGTCATTCACCACCGAATGTCTGCTGGGTCATATATGAACTCCTAAATCCTGCCCCTTAATTACTCTGGGATCAGTAAGGCTTCTTAATTCTGGGATCCTTTTAAAGCATGCTTCAGCCCACTCTTCCTCATATTTAGATGAAATAGATGCATTTCTTAGCATTATTTCCTTTGGGTCCTTTTCTGTTCTTTCATTGCCTGTATGTGTGCTTTCTGAAATGATTTTATGGTTCCAATACTTTTGTTGTTGTTTCCTCTCAAAATGGAAGAGAACTTTAAAAGTGTGTGTATGTGTGCATTTACCTCTGGAGACCAGAGGACAGCCTCGGGTTTCATTCTCAGGAACATCACCCACCTCTCTTGAAACAGGGTCTCTCACTGTCCTGGAACTCATCAAGTATTCTTAACCTCCTGCCCAGTGAGCCCCAGGGATTTGTTTGTCTCAGCCTCCCCAGCATTAGAATTACAAGTGTGCCCCACTGTGCCCCACATGTGTATATGGGTTCTGGTGATCAAACTCAGGTTCCCACGCTTGTGTGGCAAACACTTACTGGCTGGGACCTCTTCCTCATCTCGTAAGGACACTTTTAAGAAGGTTTGTCGCCGGGCGGTGGTGGCGCACGCCTTTAATCCCAGCACTTGGGAGGCAGAGCCAGGCGGATCTCTGTGAGTTCGAGGCCAGCCTGGGCTACCAAGTGAGTTCCAGGAGAGGCGCAAAGCTACACAGAGAAACCCTGTCTCGAAAAACCAAAAAAAAAAAAAAAAAAAAAAAAAGAAGGTTTGTGAAAATGCCTCTGATACAACACTGTGTTTGTTTGCAATAGAGGACTACACAGAAGACATTGCTATGTTTGCAAATAGCTGGATAGTGCAAACTCTAGATGACCCAAAATGTGTACCTACTCCCTCAGACTTTCCAAATCCATGTTCCAGTGGAATGCCAGCATTTGAGGTAAGTTTGATACAAAAAAAATTTGAGCATGTTGGACTTAATACAAATCTTTTTTTGCATTAAGCATTTTAGTGAAAATCAGTACAATTAAATTATTGAATTCAGAGTACATATTTCCAATATGGAATGACTTCACATTAATTTCAGAAATAGTGGATATAAGGGGGCTGATCAATGCAGTAATTAAAAAAAATGTAGCTTTGAAAATTGTTCATTGTGTTTTATGAGTGTAAATTATCTGCCCTTTCCTGGTGCGAACAGAGAGTTCAGCAGGTAGATTAGTGCCAAGCAGAGGTGAGCATTCTCGTGTACCAGTGAGGTTGCTCTGATGATCGGCATCTGCTTTGTGCACAGGCAATCTTCTTCAAATGCCAGATATTGCTGCAGTTCCCTTTTCTGAGCTGCCACGAATACATCGATCCGTACTTATATATTGCCAGCTGTGTGAATGACCTGTGCAAGTAAGTGAAACAATTGGTATGTACAATCTATTTCTTTATACAAAACGAACAAACAACAAACAAAAATATCCAAGAGCAGATGGACTTCTGTGACATAGCCCTGTCAGTGGCTTGCCAAAGAGTGCTAAGTGTAAAGCCCAAACTGGACTAACAGCTACTTATTAGAATCTGACTGTCTAATGGGTAGGTAAATGTTTTACATAAGTGGGAACAGAATCTAGCGGCTTTTAAACATTTTGTGCCACTGGCCCTTATGTTTTTAGATTCTAGAGATGCCTATAGAACCTTCTGTGCAAGAATGTTTCAGATCCTCAAAATGAAACAATATTATGGAGGAAACTAATGGAACAGTCATCAAAAGAGTGAAAGGAATCATTTTCTAAATACATACATGCTTTAAAGTATATTGCCTATTTAACAACTGCTGAAATCTGACATCGTGGGTACAAACAATCATTTGTAATTTCTACAGTTAGAATGAGAAATGAGAACACATGAAAAAAATAAATGAGACATGTTGCTGACAAAATCACATATGTTGCTAATAATATTTTGGGATTTGATTGATGCCCTTATGCACAATTGAAGGAAATGCTTAATTTCAACTGGAGATGACTAGAAATGCACCTTTAAGGTTTTTCTAATCATAGTCCCAGATTGCTTTATGTTATCCCAGGTTAACAGCACCCAGAATAGGAAGTTGTCTAGGTAACAAATTGATCACACTGTGTTTATCACAGAACTTAATACAAATTACCCATTGTTGAACTATTTTTAAATTTTGTTTATTTTCAATTATCAAGTATATGTTATTAGCCATCTTGAAGATTCAAGTGTACTTTAGAGATTTTGTATATCTGAATATTTAATGAGTCCCAAGAAATATAAATAGTATATTTGAATATTTTTATAGAACAACTGACTAGGTTTTGGTCAAGTAAAGCCATTTTATTTTTTGGTAGTTTGTTAAGATCTCTCCTTTTATCAAAGGTAATACAAAAAAAGTAGAAATAGTGTTGAAATTATGTTACCTGTAGATACTCTTCTTTAGATCATTGTATATTATAACAGTATATTGAATGTACTGGTGTTTTCCAAATAATAAAATAACCTGATTGGCATTATGGCTTGGCTTTGAGTAGAGTGCAGTCATGCCTTGACTTGGGTAGACAGTCTCAAAATCTAAGGGTTTCTAAACAAGAACAAAGCTCTCAATTAGCTTCTCCTCTCCACTGATGGTCAGTGACCTTACTGTGCATTTTTGAAAAAGAATTCTTCCCTCTCTTTTTAAAAAGTAAGCACTAATTGTTATGTCTTTGTTCTTTTACTCAAACTGACCTTTTTCCACTCAAGATCCACAAAAGTAAGCTTGTCCCTTATTTCTCCACTTATACACAATTAAAAAATTATTCTTTATCCACAGTGGTTTGTGTCCCTTGTTTCAAATATTCCTAAATTGCTTTGTCACAGGCATCTTTAACACCCATTTCTTTTCATAACCTGAGATAGAACACCATTTCATATATTCAAGAAAGTCACTCTCTACTCATTAATTTGATTGCTTCAATAGCCAAAGTAACAGTAGATAAACTTAAATAGAATGTTTATACTTCTCTCATTTAAAAGCTCAAGCCAGTAATTGCTCTTGGATTAACATTGTGGCTCTGTTCCATAAACTTAACAGTGACTTTGCAGTCTTGTTGATACACGATGTCCTTGTTACTATTCTCAATTTCAAGGTCCAACTGGCTCCTCTTATGTCTTCATGTTAGCTGTCAGAAAAGGAGAAAGGAAACAAAGGGATAGTATTTCTGACCTGGAAGATTCATATACAGCCCTCATTCTTAGCCTTTTGGACCAGACTGCAGAAACATGGCCATATCTAGATGCACAGAAGGCTAGTGATGCCTCTTGCTGAGTATCCACACATCTAGGAAATATGCAAGTTTCTAATAATGAAAATAAGGGGGAATTAAAAGATAAAAGCATTGTACCCCTATATCCATGTCATATAAATTTTCAGTGAGAAGATCACTTTTTTATTTTATTTGTTTTGAATCTATGATTTTGCCTTCTCCAGGACAAATGGAGCAGAACAGTCAGGTAGAGAATTACCTTGTAGCAGTTTAAATTAACTGACCCTTAAGGCACGTGTCTGAGGTGGAAAGCCTGAGCTGTGGAAGAACAGCAGGTCATATGGGAAGAAGGGCATCGTGGTTGAGTTTAGCGGACATTGCCAAAACAGAAGTGGGAAACTCCCACAATACGTTTCCACTTCTCCTGGTATTTCTTTCAAGGCACACCTTTGCACTGTTCTTCTGTCCTTTTCTTCAGTAGGAAATGAATGATTCTTTTCTTTTCCTGTGCTATGGAACTGATTCAGGAGGATCCTGTTCAATGAAAAGGTGAATTGGTTGGACACACATTCATTTCTTGCTTATGTTGTGATAACTTGTTGAAATTGACTTGACACCCATCTCTTGTGCCTCATAGCTAAGCAATGTGACAATATGTAAACACAGAAACCATGTCCACATAGTCTCTACCCTGAAAACCTCAATTCTCATAGGGTGGAGAAGCAGGTTCCCAGCCATGTTTGACTCCTGCTTGGGATGGACACCAGGGATCAAGAACCGCATACAAGGCTCCAGGGAAGACGGAGCATTTCGATGGGAACAATACAATCCTTGTAATTATGCCTTCCAGGTTTTGCTTCTAAAACCTTGGCAGCAAAGAAACGATTTTTCATTTTTTGGCATGTCAGAGTCAATTGAATTAGAAACAACTATTATTTAATGCTTGTTTTTCTCATTAGAGTTAACATCCAAATGGAAAGTCAGCTCATTTCCTCTCAGTCAGTTAGGATAATAAATTCCTTCTTGCCCGATTTGATGTGTTTCATCAGGGACCATAAGACTCTGTGCCTCACATGGTTCCTGGAGTAACAAAGACACTCAGTAAATGGCATATTTTAATATTTGTTGCATTGCTTGGGAAGCCCCAAATCAGTTTCTTGTTAACTTTCAAAATTACTATTAATTGGAGAAAACACGCCTTTTAAAGGTAAATCTCTTCCAGAAACTCAACGATTTTTGACATACACTTCTTTTCAGAACGACTTTTCTTTCTGTACTTTTAGGACTTTCTAAGCTCCTGAAGTTATGTGGACAGGTTTCTCTTTTGCTTTCTAAAGCTCAGTTAATTGGACTAGATAAGCTACTTGGCTCCAATTACAGTAGCACAGAGTAAGGGCAATTTGAGAAGGTGGCTTTTATAACAAAGACTGAAAATGTTAAGAGTCACAAAATGGAATGTTCTTAAGGTCATTATCTTTTAAGATGCTTAACTATCCAATTTTGAGTATGGATTGGGTTGAAAACCAAGCTCGCTACCTTGTTAGAAACTTGTTTATTTTGAAAGCGCCTTGTTAATCTGCTTTGGGAACTGGCAGATCCCATAAGAAATTATTGTTTAGAGAGCATTCTAAAGTGATTGCAAGAAAAATAATTAGAGATAATTTACTTGTGGCAATGTTGTAAAAATGTCGAGCTTCAGTGAAAGGGCTCAAAAATCTCCTTTTAAATCTTAAGTTAAATGTTATTTATTAAGTCTTTCAAAATTATTTTGGACTGTTATGGCAAGGGCTGCTACAGTGTGAGTGTAATCCTTTGGAGGGCCATCGACTATTGAGCAATTCAAAATGAGGTGTTTGAAAAAAAAATGTTCATCCTTGGTGTGTTTGTAGAAATATAATTTTATCTGCTTTAATTTCATTTAAATTTTTATCTGAATTTAATAATTATTAAATTCTAAAATGTCTGGAATATTTTGTGTAGATGTAAAAACACATACGAAGATTTAAAAATTTTAATTATAAATATTTTTCATTATAGTTTTTACTTGACCCATAGGAAGAGTGTTCAGTTTATTGAACGGCTTTGATAAAGGTGTTGCTATATATCGTACTAAATTTAGGTGGGTGCATTCATATAGGATCTCTTGTACATGTGTAATTTCAACGTTTTATTGTCTCCTGTGAGGTATGTTGCAGAAGACATGCAATCTGACGTCAACTAACGTTAGTGTGTTCACCAACCCCTCATTTGCTTTTAAGACTCAGGAGGTCTAAGGCAGAATTCTGTCTCAATTCCCAAGGGACCCTGGCTCAGTTTTTCTACTTTTTTCTTTTTCTTTTTAGAACTGATGACGATGAAACTTATTGTCGAGCTGCCACTGAGTACGCTAGAGCCTGTTCGCACGCAGGCTTCCCCATTCAAGACTGGAGGGATGACTTCCCAGCATGCAGTATGTTTGTAGTTTTCAAACCACGTAGTTAACAAAAAGTTTCAGTCTTAGCCTAGAATGCAGTTTACCCAACTTCTCAAAACCAGTGCATTGCAAAACTTTTCAAAATTGCTGACATGTTTGTAAATTTACCTATTTCCTAAACACTGTGTTTTTGGAAAGAGGATAAACTTGACCCGTAGCTCACTGTCTGCCATTGCAGCTGATAAATGTGACGACAGCTTTGTTCACCGGGACTGTATCAGTTGTTGCCCTCCGAGCTGCACGTTTGAGAAGCAGTGTCTTGGGAGCAATCTTCACTGCCTCGATGGATGCTATTGTGCTGACGGTAAGCTCCTCACGAAGAAACCACGCCTGCACTCCTCTCAAGTGGTACGCGGTTACATGAAGACCACATCTTGGCCTTGCTGTCCATTCCCTAGACATCAGAGCTATTGCAACTTCATACTCCCCCCCCCCTCCCCCGCTTTTTTTTTTTTTTTTAAAGCTCAGAGTGTTTTTGATAGCGCTGAATAGGGAGGCAGGGATATTGTTTGCAGCTGAACTAGGAGGCAGGGTTATTGCATACAGATAAAGAGGTAGGGTTTATGGTATACAGCTAAAGCAGTGTTTCTCAACCTTCCTAATGCTGTGACCCTTTAGTACAGTCCCTCATGTTGTTCGAACCTCACACTGTTGTAGCATTCAATCCTTGAACTGACTGAGAGGAATGCTTGCTTTTCTTTAATAAAAGGCATATTTTTTATTTTGTAAAAAATTCAGAAACTTGGAATCTAATATTTTTAATTCCCAAGGTGACAAATGTATTCTTTCACTATGTAATAGTACTTTATATATTTTTATTTTCTGGACTATGAAAGCAAGACTAGGAAAGAGCCTTCACATTTTTCCATTATAAAGATTTTAGTCCTAGTGTGGTTTTAATATTTCAAATGAAAATAACAACGAATCATGGAAGTGAGTTTTCAAGTTATCATATGGATAGACATTTATAAAGAAGGCTGAAGATTTTTTTCAGAACTTCCACTCTCTCTATTTCTTTGAGCATGCACATGTGTAATATATTGTGCGTGTGTGCATCTGCATGTGGAGACCAGAGACTGATGTTATATGTACATCTTTTACTATTTTCCACCTGGTTTTTGGAGATGGGGTCTCTCTCTGAGTTACTGAGCTTACCATTTTGGCTAGACTGACTGACTACCAAGTTTTGGGATCCATCTGTACAATTACCCAGTGCTGGGATTGCCTGAGCCATACTAGGCCTGGCTGCATTCTACAGATCCAAACCGAGGCCCTATGCATGCATAGCCAACACTTTACCTACTGAGTCATATTCTCAGCCCAATGTTTTCCCCACCCTTAAAAAAGTACAAGCTAGGAAAAGAAGACCGGGCGTGCAGCCTAGTGTTAAAGTATTTCCCTAGTATGCAAAAGACCTTGGTCAATCTCCAGGTCTCAAAAGGAACAAAATTAAAGGTCTTAAGTGTTCTTCCCAGGCCCTTTCCTGACTTGCCAGTGCACTGAACCAGTGGCAGTCTTGAGGTGTTCGCTTACAGTGGAACACTGGATAAGGATGTGGCTTCAGGGCATAAGTCCGTGTGCTACAGTAGGCCAATCCTCTTTCCTGTAGAAACTGGCTATGGAAGAGGCCGTTGGATGGAAATGCTGATTTAAATTTTGCTCCATCGTCATTTACCTTCACAAAGTTGTAACAAATGTACTGCGCTGGACCGTTGAGCAGCACTGTTCTTCAGTGTTTGCAGGGCAATAGTGTAAATCTCTTTTATGTTGGACTGAAAAGAACATAAACTAAGGATATACCTTCTCCCTTCTTTATTTCTCTTCCCTTAAATTCAAGGAAGTGCTTTTCAGTTTCCTTTCTTCTCCTTCATGGGCTTTGAGATTTTGATGGTAAGTTACAGGATATCAAAGTTGAAAATCATTGAGGTAAACCTTTATAAGGTAGATACTGACTGAGAACCAGGCTGCTAGAATCCTCTCTGACAGTCAAGGAGTTTTTGTTTCTAGCACCTACTATATGCAAGGTCTTAACATCTGATTGAATTGTTATATATTCAAAGAATGTAACCCTTACTATTTCTTTTGAGATTGTGACATACATTTTCCTTAAACAGGTCTCATAATGGACAATGGGACCTGCATCTCCTTGGAAAGTTGCCCATGTAGTTTCCATGGGTTAGCTTATTCAGTTGGTTCAAAAATTGAGCAAGAGTGCACTGAGTGGTGAGTGGTCAATAGGTAGAGAATAATTTCTGGGTACTGGTCTCTTTAACGACTTGGTCATAACAGGTATCTTGAAGAGTCTATCCATTGCTTATCTTCACCTGCATATTCTGAGATACAGTTTGTATTTTATTTGAACTGTACAGGTTCATTATCTTTTTGTGTTTGTATTCTTATCATTTCCCTTGGTAATTTCATAAAATCCTATGCCCATATGCTACCCATCCCATTTTGTTATTCATGATCATTAATTAACACACACTTTTATTCTTAGAACTGAATACTTTATAAAGTGACTGTCTATTGCCAATTTTTGGTCATGATCAGTAAGATTTACAATTCCTTATTAAACTAACTCAGGCTCTGGGTAAGCATGAAATTCCTCTAGGACAATCCCAAGCAAAAACTGAGGGTGGCATGACCATGGCCCCTTTCTTTTTGCTGACAGCGTACATAAAAGACATGCAATCATATAACTAACCATGTACTCAGATGTTGATGTCATCAGAGACCCTTTCTTTTCTTAGAAACTCCTCTTTTTGTCAAGGTGGGAAGAAGCCTGTGTCTTACACAAGAAGACATATATTTCCTATTATTAATGTCTGATGACATTAAATAGATACATAGTAGATAGTCATTTATGAGCCATCCAGTTCAGAACTATTAGTCCACCTATTTTAGAGAATTTTTTTCTAGTCAGATAATAGAGAACCTATTATATTTTGTATATTAATAATATATTGAAGCAAATGTCAGTATAATTTCTGTGTGAGGCTAATATCTTTATAATTTTATTTAGTGTTTGTGTTGGTGGAGTTTGGAACTGCACTGAGCATGACTGTCCAGGTAATCTTTTCAACTGTTGAAAAAAAACTTTAAAATTTTGAAAATATTTTTTAACTTGGAAGGAAAAATAACACTGTTTTTTTGTGAATGTATCTCATATATACATCAAAGAATATAATAACATAATTTACATATAGAGGTTAATTGGGAAGTTGAATACATGGTACCATTGAGTAGGCAACTTTGGCAAAATTTTGTTAAAGTGGATAAATATAATGCCTAAAACTACATGGAAAAGCTATCATGTAATAATTTTTAAATGAAATTTAATAACTTGATTTGTCAGATCAGCAAATGTAAATGAACACTTGAGATTTTCTTTTGAGGTGTGCTTGTTTATCATGTTGTCCTCTTGTTCAGGAATTAACACACTTTTCCCTCCCTCCTTCTCTGTCTTCTTTTCCTTCTTCATTTATTTTTGACAGTCCAGTGCTCTGTTGTGGGTGATTCTCATTTCACCACCTTTGATGGGCGCCATTATTCTTTTATTGGCTTGTGCCAGTACATCCTCGTGAAAGGAACTGGAAAAGATAAATTCACAATTACCTTACAGAAAGCTCACTGTGAACAGGTAAGCAATGCTCCTAACAGTAAGCAGGGGAACAATCACACTTCAAAGTCCAACTTCACATCCTGATTCAGTGACAGCATCAATAATAAAATAGACCATTATTCTTTTTTTTTTTTTTTTTTGGTTTTTCAAGACAGGGTTTCTCTGTGTAGCTTTGCGCTTTTCCTGGAACTCACTTGGTAGCCCAGGCTGGCCTCGAACTCACAGAGATCTGCCTGCCTCTGCCTCCCGAGTGCTGGGATTAAAGGCGTGCGCCACCACCACCGCCCGGCTACACCATTATTCTTAATGTATTGATTATTAAGAGGCCATTATTCTTAATATATCAGACAAGAATGAGTAATGCTCATCATCAGTCATGACATATATTGATGATGTGATGAACTTTGATTTTAGATACATTTATATTTGGAAATAAAAATAACTAAAAGTTATTTACATATGTTGCTTTTTAAAAACTTAGTGCATAATTTCACTATAGGACTAAGCCTTAATTTATTCCCAACCATCTGTGTGACAGGGTATTTTTTTTTGTATAGGATCCAGTAGGTTTCATATCATTCTAAAGGATATATAATATGCAATCATATAATATAATAATTCTTTGACTTATTATGATATTGATGTTGGGTCCTTTCTTTAAATAGACACACCAATAATTTGTTGAAAAAGGAGAAAATAATTTCAAAAATTTGTCAACATCCTTAATAAATCAGCTTGGGGAATCCTGCAGAAGATGGGGAGAAAGGATTTCAGGAGCCAGAGGGTCAAGGGTATCACAAGAAAACCCACAGAAACAACTGCCTAGGCTCAGAGGGGCTCACAGGGTTGGAACTGACGATGAGCATTCCTGTGTTGATCTTACTTAGTCCCTCTGCATCTGTGTTGGGACTGTGTAGCTTAGCCTTCTTGTGGGGCTCCTGATACTAGGAGAGAGGGCTGTCTCTGACTCGTTTGCCTGCTTTTTTGACCCTTTTCTTCCTACTGGATTGTCTCATCCAGCTTTAATACAAGGGGAGGTGCCTAGTCTTACTGTAACTTGGTATGCTGTGGCTGGCTGATAGCTGTGAGTAACTTGCCCTTTTCTGAAAGGAAACAGAGGAGTGGACTGGGGGCAGGAGAGGAGGTGGAGGGGATGAGGAGGGGAAATTGTAGTTGGGATGTAATGTATGAGAGAAAATGAATAAATAAATGAATTCCAATAAAAGGCCATTTCCAGTAAATATTATAAACTAATTTCTTTGCTTTCCCACCCCCCCAGATAGTTTGTTTTGAGATTGGCTCTTGCCTCAGATTTGTAGCACTCTTCCTCCCTTAGTGTCTGGAGTGCTGGGAATATACCTGTGAGCCACATGCCTGGCTCCACCTTGATTCTTGTATTGAAATTTATTAGTGTTAGAATTAGCTTTATAAGTTGTCCTAAATTGCTTGGTTATACGATAGAATTGTCTTTATTGACAAGTTTGTTAGTGGTGCTAGCTCAGTGATAAACCATGTATTATGGAAACCAATTACTGGTACTTAACTAAAAATGTGGTTATTAAAAATTTATATAATATATATTATACTTGATGTATCATAGTAAACCATATATTACTAGGGGTGGGGTTACATGAAATGAATTGTGTATCAGCTGTTTCATTATATCTATCACTGACATCCAAGCCTCCCTGTGTACCAGCAATTCTTATTTGTACATACTCTTTCTCTGTGTTTCCTCTCTCCCCCTCCCTCCTCCCGCCTTCCCTGTCTCTGCTCACCAATACTTTGCCTTTTATGCAGAACCTGGGTTTGGTCTGCCTTCAGTCAATAACTCTAATTCTGGAGGATGATTTTAACAAACAAGTGACACTCAGTAGAGGAGGCCAAATCCTCACCAGTCCCAACCAAGGCTTCACACTGAACGGTAAGAAGCAATGCTGTGAGTATATTAGCGTGGACAGCAAATGCCACTCAAAGGATTCATTTTCTCTTGGCTGGTGGCATACCATTTACTGGGTGCTTGTATCACTCCACCAAAAATGCTGGAGGCTACCATATGTATTATTTTTTCTCAAGTGGCCTAGAATTTGCACAAGCAAACAGATTCTCAAAATCAAATGAGATAGACTCCAAGATTTGTATAGAACTTTGTGGGTTGAAATGAGGAGTAGGCCACCCAATACCAGGGAAAGAGCTTTCAGGGTCAGGAGAGTTTTCTGAAGGAGATGATACATCACTGAGCATTTGAAGCTGAGCAATTCTTAGGATTAAAGAGGTGAGCTGGTTCTTCATGGAGGGAAGTGAGAGGCAGATGTGGGAAGCTTGTTTAGGGGACGATGTAACTGAATTGACTTTGCTACATCCTGGACAGGTTCCATAGAGACTATCTGGAGCTGACGTCAGGAAAGCAGGTGGGGTATGAACAGTATGTAGAGGGCTTCATATGTGGTAGTTTCCTGAGATGGACCTTGTTTATGCCTTCATTGCAACATAGATATGAAGAATATTCTTTTACCCTCACAGCGAAAACTCTCAGAAGTGTTCCAGCTCGTGTTACAACACGTGTCAATGTTACGCAGGCATCATGCCCAGGAAAATCATATAGAAATGAATATAAAATTGATAAAATTGTTATCATTTCACCAGTTTCTGAAATGGCAATCTCATACATTTTAGCCAAATAAACAGTGAGTCTTAAGGAACTGTAATTTGTTTGTTTGTTTCTTTTGTCTTCCTCTTTTTTTTTTTTTTTGTCTTTTCGACTGTGAGGACAGCAGTGTGGAAGTGACTTCAGATGTTAGATACCGGACATACAACATGCAGCATGCTGTCTAGTGAGGCATGGCAGAGCTAAGGAGGAGCTGTGTCATGGCAGTGAGAGAGGAGACAGGTCGAACACAAGTGACCCTCTCTTATGCTAGTTTCAGTGAGGCGTGTTTGAGGGAGGCAAAGAGGAGAGAATGCCCTGATCAAAGAGAATTCCTCAGATTTAAGGCTTTAGGGACCACGCTGGGAAATTTAAAGCCTTAAAAAAACATTGACATAGGAGCAAGGAAGAGCTTTTGGTGACAAAGTCACTAGTTTAGTTTTGAACATTGAGTTTGTCTGTAAATGTGTCTCATAAAATAATGGTTAGCAAGAGCTGTGCTTTCCATTTTTTTTTTTTTGTTGGCATTCACAAAACTATAGAAAAGTTTTGAGGAAATTGATACTTCCTAATGGATCGTGGCCATTTTAGGATAACATACTATACTACAATACTACATCATATACATACATCCATAGACACACACCGCATCTCCCATACAACACACACAAATGACACATACACACACCTATACACATATAAAATGTCACATACCACACTTCCACACCATATAACCCCACACCACATCTCTGCTATACTATCCATCCCCACCACACACATGCATATACATGTACACCGCACATACAAACACACACACACACACACACACACACACACACACACACACACACACATACAGTGAAAAAGATGATTAGAATTCAAACATCTAAGATGTTCAAGATGTTTGACAATGGAAATTACGTGTGGACAACAGTCTATAAGAAATACATGCCGAAGACTAGGAAAGGGGGAGAGAGAGAAGGAAACAAAAGAAAGAAATTAGCCACTCGGGAAAGACTTAGCCCTGGAGCATAGGCCAGACTTGCCATCTGGCCACCCACTTCCAGGTGTCATAGATGGAGAGGTTCAGTGCTGTCCTCTGTCAGTTCAGAACACTGCCTGTATGTGACAACACTGTTGTATATATGCTCTTTTCCTACAGGCATTGTTGAAATTCAGACTCTGTCATCCCTATTCATTCTTCTAAGAACCACATTTGGTTTAAAGATCTTGTTTGCTATCGACGGAGAAAGAATTTACATTCAGCTCTCCAGTGCATGGAAAAGAAGGACATTAGGTCTGTGTGGCACCTTTAATGGCAACATCAGGGATGATTTTCTGTAAGTATGATTTATGGACAGCTCATTGAGTTTAATGACTGTCAGTTGAGAGGAGAGTGATTCATTAAAAGTGTTTACATAACTGATAGGCGGTCGGCAATCACTGGCTAAGTGCTCCCCATATATCATCATATTTATTGTATCGCTATCCCCAATTAGTGTCCTTGTTTTGTTAATTGGAGAAGAAACTAAGGCCTCCCAAGGGAAAAAAAAATCATTCAAGGTCACTTATCTTAGGACTTTTTAAAGTTTTCCCATTCAAACCCTTTTTATCCATGAAATTTTATGCAGTCCTAGGTATATCAATATAACATAGAAACATGTATCAAACATCTAGTGATAATAATCTATAGGGACAATTATTTTGAACAATTCTTTGCTATAATATAATTTTACCACTTATTAAAGATGAAAGTAAATTTGCATACTAAGAAGATGAACGTGCTTGCTCATTTTTGCACAAAGAATTGAGCTGAATAGGCCATACTGCAGGACATACAGCATCTTCCACATTCCCCAGATTCACTCAATATTTTGATTTTTGTAATCATCAACACTGAGAATGCTGTTTCACACAAATATGTAGTACAAAATGGCAGAGATACATTTAAGGTCATTTCAGATGTTCTTAAAAATTTTTATCCTAGCCGGGCGGTGGTGGCGCACGCCTTTAATCCCAGCACTCGGGAGGCAGAGGCAGGCGGATCTTTGTGAGTTCAAGGCCAGCCTGGGCTACCAAGTGAGTTCCAGGAAAAGGCGCAAAGCTACACAGAGAAACCCTGTCTCGAAAAACCAAAAAAAAAAAAAAAAATTTTATCCTAATCTTAAGCCAAAATTGAATGATTTTTAAAACAAAACGCAAATCAACAAGTAAAATAGTAATCCTTAAAAAACGAACATTCTAGCTCAATACAGTCCAAAGGTATATTAATTTGATATTTACATGGGGGAATGGTGTTAGGAAAATATTAAGAAGACATTTTCTGAAACAAGGCTATATGCTTGCATAAGAGTAAAAATCTTTGTACAGTTCACACACCGTAATTCATAACACACAATGTTCTCAAGGTGTTCCAAGCAGCATTTGTTGATGCTGTGTGGCATTACAGTATGTGAAGTGCAAAAGGTACATTGTGTGTTCAGAACCAAAGTTGCAGTACAGTCACACAATGCCACACAAGTGAGTGTTGGGAGAAACACCTTGGCTCACAACATACTTGATGTGATGTGATGGTGTATGTGTGTGTGTGTGTGTGTGTGTGTGTGTGTGTGTGTGTGTGTGTGTGTGTGTATGTGTGTGTGTGTTTTGTGCAGGCCAGAAGTCACCCTTGAGTGCTGCTCCTCAGGTGCCACTCACCTTGTTTTTTGAGACAGGATCTCTATTGGCCCGGAGCTCACTGATTAGTGTAGGCTGGCTGAAAATGTCTCACGTAGCCCAGGCTGGATTCAAACCTGTAGTATAGCCAAAGCTGACCTTGAACCCCTGATCCTCTTGCTTCCACCTCCCAAGCGCTGGTCTTATAGGCATGCACTCTCCATGTGACTTCATTTGTCTTAGAATTGAGTTTGGGTGGTTACCCATTTAGAAACCTTTGACTGTTGCCAAACTTTTCATGACCTCTTTTCATGTGAATGACTCCATATGTGTCACGACCACGGTTTAAGAAGCTAGGACCCAGCTCCCATTCTGGAACGAGGCTTGGACTTACGCAACATGACTCAGGATGTGGCTAACTGTTGCCTCCTGTGTGCTCCTTTGCTACATATCAAGTTCAGTGGTCTGCTTTTAGCAACTGGCAGCCTTTTAGAAATCTTAATATCATTTGTATTCATTATTAATTGTAGTGAGTACTGGTGTTATTTGATATTACCGTTAGCTATGAGACAAACTTTGCTATCTAAGTTCATTGGATTTTATGAAAATTGGTGTTGCATTGTCAGAAAAGCAATAAAGTATGTCTGTATCCCTTAATATGAGAATGTGCTTTGCAATACCTATGAAAATCCGCAGTGGCTGGTTCAGGGTCATGGTGTAAGTACTAGCCATTTGGCCTGAAGCCCACTGGGAACCAGTTAAGTGAGATGACTCGGTTCTTATCCTCCACAAACCTATGTTGCATTATCAGGAAGGGATTTTAATCATTAAGAAACATGGAATTAAAAAATAACAACCCTGATGCCGGGCCATGGTGGCACACCTTTAATCACAGCACTTGGAGGCAGAGGTAGGTGGATCTCTGTGAGTTCCAGGTCAGTCTGGTCTACAGAGCGAGATCCAGGACAGGCTCCAAAACTACACAGAGAAACCCTGTTTCAAAAAACCAAAACTAACCAACCAAACAAACAAAAAAACCAAACAACAACAACAACAAAAAACAACAACAAAACAACCCTGATCCCTGTCAGGAGTGGTAGGGAGCTGGGCTGAAGGTAGGGTTAATGGAAAGGAGTTGTTGATCAGTGGATGAATAGAGATCTGTCATTTAGCACAGGGCCGAGAGTCAATGTGTTAGATACTTGAAAATTGCTAAGAGGCTAAATGGCCAGTTTCCTCATGCAATAATGACACGAATATGAAGTGACACCTATGTCCATTAGCTTGGTTTGACCATTGCACAGTGAGTGGATCCATGTAACTTTAAAGAGTTATATTGTACATCCTAACTACATACAACTTTAAGCTGGCCCATAATATCTGTATAAAAGATTCTAACTAAGAAATATTTAGTGATAGGTGAGACAACAACCAAAAATGCATATAATATATTGAGGTAATTTCAAAATAATGAATGTTGTCCTTTGTGGTCATAGCCAGAAACAGAGTATACGTTTAGAGGTCACTGTGGGCTGAGTATTCAGGGAACATACCATAGAAGAGTTGTTCTCTAAATAACATGTGTTTTTCCCCCTCAAATACTTTCATACATAATCTTTCCCTCTGTGGTTCTTTCCTTTGTAAATGTTGGTCATGAACACTGATTTAATATTCAAACCAAGCAGCCATTATTTGCTTTTTAAAATTTAGTTTATATCTAGCCGAAGTCAAATCTGGATTAGCTGTTAGAAGAATATTTATCATTTATCAGTTTTCTCACCAAACTGCCAGGGCTATGAGCATTGGGAGGCGACCCTTGGTCCCTGTAATCGTAGGACTTGTCCATCCTGGACAGTCAACTGCACTGGACAAGACTTTTCATAGTGCACCAGGAAGTACACTGAATGGGCAAGGAGAGCTAGTGTTTTAATTAAAAATTTAAAAAGTAAAGTTTATTTTGCATTATCTCTCATGTCATTTATTTGCTTTTAGATTTTTTTTTTATTTACTTGAAGTTAGAATAACAATGTAGCTATCACATTTTCCAAACAGAAACCATGCTAGGAGGCTTGGCTCAGATGTCCAGAAAAGACATTAAGCCCTCTTTCTTGGCCTTGTTTGTCAGAATGGGTTAGCAGTCAGTGGTTAACAGATGGCAGATCTGTCTGCCACTCTCCAAGGCACCAGGCTCCTCCATGCATAAACATTCAGGCGCGATAAGAATGCAGGATAATATTTCAGTCAGAGATAACTCTTGAACATTGTTTAGCTTTCCAACTAAAGTAGTTAAAATTCTTTACTTGACAAAGGTTAATGGGAATCTACAAACATAGTTTAATGGAAAAATATTAATTGAGAATTTGTTTTACATGCCCTGTTAGGGTAAGTCAAGCATGGTGAGCTGAAAGGCCATTTTATAAAGTGAAACACAATAAATAAACTGGCCTACATTCTGGTCCCTATCTTTAACAAATTTATTGTTTTAAGTCAACTAAATGAAATAAGAGAGCCGGGCTCTGGGTAGGTCCTCCTGGGAACCCTGAGATATTTTGCTTTCCCTGGAAGGAGGCAGGGAGAAGGAAGGCAGGGGAGAGACATTAATAGAACTCAGGCAGTTTCTTGAATCTTAATACCTTCATCTGAACAAAAATGAGACTTTTATATTAGGTGTCTTATAGTTCTTTAGCCTTCTGGGGGCTTGTTGAGGAATAGGAAAAGGAAGAAGGAAGAGGGAAGTCGCGGGTCAACTTCATGTAGTGTCTTATGTACCATTATCTTTCTCTCTCTTCTCTGTCATTGAATAAGTGGTCTCATCTAGATGGCAACCCAAAGCACTCGTCTTCTAGGGTGCTAGGAGAGTGGAGGTCAAACCTACACTTCTGTTCAGACACAGCGTAGCTGTGAGCACAGGCCTATACACCCTTCAGGAGACTGGATCTGCCTTGATCTGTGCAGTAGACTTCACAGAGTCTGGCACAGTGCCTGGTAGGGAAATCACTTAGTAAATGCTGGCTGGTGCCGCTGAAGGTGGAACCTCATATTTGGCCCCTTGATGTTGTCGTCTCACTTTAAAAAGGTGGTTGTTTCTCTTCTGCTTTGGTCTGCTGAGGAAACTGAAGATGTGGGGAAACTTGAAGGAAAGGTGACATTATATCAGTTTTTGCCCCAATTTTAATGTATTCATTTTGCTTCGTATTTCAGGCCTTATAATATAAATTGATGCAATGAGCCAAGAGTATAGGTTATTTTACCCCATACTCCTTGCCATTAGCTTGAATAGACCATGTGAACTGTACTTCTAGGTCTCCGCATTCACCCTAATCACACTCAGATTGAATTTTTGGTTCTGTGGGTTATGCTTGGTTACCTGAGTGGGAGCAAGGCCTGACCTTTTGTTTTCTTGGATACCAGCTTAATGAAACAGATTAACATTTCTTGGAGGTACTGCTTTGCTTTCTTTATAAAATGGGCATAAGGCTGTTTTCTTCTCAAGACAGAAATGAAGATTCAATAACATTATACATGTCCATAATCTAGCACCTTGAAAATCTCAATAACGGGATGCCGACATATTTATATTTCTTAAAAATTGACAGAAAACTTGAAGCTCTAAGATTTATTTGAACGTTAAGCAAAATAGTATTTACTTATTTGAATATTTGAAGGCTATGTGCCTGTAAAATGAATGAGAGAGACTGTGGTGAGCATTTTCTTGGCTTTCTAGTTCTCCATCAGGCATGATAGAAGGAACACCACAGCTTCATGCCCACGCGTGGAGAGTTTCCTCCACTTGTTTCGCTCCTGTCCATGTCCCGATGGTCGACCCCTGTAATATTAACCAACAGAACAGTAAGTCTTCCTTTCTGCATGTAGACTTGGGGGGGATGCTCAATATGTTACTCTAATTTTATAATATTATGCTATGATTTTAAATTATGATTTATTCATTATGATAAGAGTACTGCCATTCCTTATGTGTTTTTGTTCAATCATATGCCTAAACCCATGCCTTTGAAATGCAACTGGGGCTATTTAAAAGAACAGAAAACAACCCAGTGCTTTGCATTTAAAAATTTATACATCATGGGTATTTATAATTTTCTTCTACTTAAACACAGGCCATGTTTTGGGGTTTTTGGATTCTGGAAACACTCTTACACTGCTGTTATAGTTTAAGGATGCTCAGCTTCAGTTTCATAGTGTGATAACTCAAGTGCATCTCCTATTTATTCTTACTCACAGCATCCGTTAAAGCTTTATAAGCAGGGGGCCCATAACTTAGTTCAGATGGAGAAAAACAGATAATCTTGCTCCCAACACTTAAAGAAATGTGTTAGGTGTTTTTAATGCGACACAGAGGATTGTTAATCACTCCCTCTTTTTAATCTCAAGAGTAGACTGGAATCTTGGCCTATATGATTTATTACTTTGAAGTCCCATTTCCATTTTCCCTCTTTTCCATCTTGATATTTTAAAAATGAATTTACTTCTGCACCTAATCTTATTTGGTTTTTAATATCTTGTTTCTAACATTGATGATTTCCTTCTTGCTGCTGCAATGACTTTATTAATTATCAAATTACCATGGAAAGGTTTCAGTGGAATTCACTTGATAAGTGTCCCTTCTGGCTGTGCTTTTATTAGCCTTCACTTCATACCATTTCCCATTTTTCACCACTTTCCTTCCACATTTAATGCCTTCTGTGGTACATGCTTTAGAGATTTTCGTTTTTACTTTAGCTGTGAACTATGATTTCTTAAAAATCCCAAACAGGTAAATTAGGAAAGACATCCCCTGCCCCCCTGCAAACAGAAAATAGATAAAAAGATAATAACTTTGAATAGGATACTGGATATTTTCTCACAAGGACCTTCTTGAGTTACCTTTTATATAACAACAATACGTTTTGATCTACAATTTCTTAGAACACAAAAGAGTGGTCTTTCCAGTGCATTATTTTACTCTTTAAGGATTCGTGGGGTTAGGACTATGTCTCTCACAGTGTGCAGTCATTTGTTCTGCATATGTATGCATATTTAAAGCAGAAAATAGTACTTAGGTAAATAGCAGGTTTTGTCTTCTTGTGGTAGAGGCGGGGGAGTTGCGGGGGAGGCTGGGGGCTTGGGAGGAGGGAAGAGGGGGAATCTTTGATTGGTATGTAAAATGAATGAAAAAATTTTCTTAATTAAAAAAATAAAATGCCTTGGATCTGGGAGGAGTGGGAAGGTGAATATGATCAAAATACATTGTATAAAATTCTTAAAAGAATTAGTGAAAATGTTACATTACACATAAATATACTTGATGTCCACAACAAAAGAAATTTGGTCTTGTTCCTTGAAAGCGAAAAATATCTGGTGTCCATCTGTCTCTCAGTGCCAATGACAATACAAAGACTGGCTGATTTTTATCTACGAGGAAACCAATGCATGTAAGGTTCACTTACATCAAGGAACCATATACCTCACCTTTCCTCCTTTTCCTGAAAGACAATAGCTCCCTGATCTTGTCCAACTTGTTTCGCCAGTCCTACACAGGACTGTATTTGGTTAGCAACTGATCTGAAGTTGTGATTATAGGAACCTGCTTCAAATAATATGACGACAGTTATGTCTCACAGACTTCAAAATACATTCCAATCCCTAATTTCTATTCACTGTTCACTCATTCCCTCACACATTGATTTAGTCATCAAACAAAAGTGAGCTCCTCATGTTTGCCAGACATTGGACACTGCGTTGTGCAGATATTGAATCGGATGACTGTGACATCTACCCCATTGTCTTTCACTCCTGAGACTCCACTGGAATGCAATGATGGCCAGTCCTGGGGTAATTGTGTTTTCTACAGACTTGTCATTACATCCATTATCCGAGCCACTTTTGTCATGCACGGAGGCCTGGTAATAATACTCCCCAGTTCCTCAGACCAGGTTTCCTGAGGTGACCTTCAGGCCTGGGCTGACTGAGGCTACTGCTTCTGTCAGCCCATCTGTTGCTCATGTTATTCAGGTGTGCTGTATTTTTGGCTAAAAGACGATTGAATGTGGAATTAGTGCTGTTACCTGTGTAAGTTGCTTGACTTATTGGCTCTCATTTAAAGGAACGATACTTTAGGAAAGGGAGATACTTGAATAGTTTTGGTACCCCATTCTTAGAGTAATATCTGGTCTATTGTATGAAAGATTCTTGGCTTCTTGTTCTGTCAGTTGGGTATGCAGCGCACTGTGACGTCATCCACCAGGAGCTCTTTGCTCCTTGTCATGTCTACGTGAGTCCGGGGCTGTATTATCAGCTGTGCCGTCATGATGCATGCAAGTGTGGAAGCTCCTGCCTGTGCAACGCTCTTGCCCACTATGCCTACCTGTGTGGCCAGCGTGGGGTGCCCATTGATTTCAGAGCTCAGATCTCATTCTGTGGTGAGTATGGCAGCACAGGCAGATGACCTGGTAACTCTTTTGAGGGGTTGGCATTCCTAACGGCCACTTTAAATTTTTTCAAAGAGAGATCAATATAGTATATAAGTTATTTGAAATGTTCTTATAAGTATGTAAGTACTGAAAAATAAACGAATACTGTTTGTTTAAAGTAGATATATGTTGGATAAAATAACTTATAACCTGAGGAGTGGGCACTATAATGCTTACTTAGCTTGCTTCACTTAAACTCACGGAACTGGAAGAGGGAGAGGGAGGGAGGAAGGGAAAGGAAGAGAGACACACACCCACCCACAGAGAGAAAACACCAATAACTGTTAATTATTTATTACAAAGTTAGAGTATGATTATGTATCTTGAAAGGAGTGTTAGAAATAACTTGAAAATTTGGAGACTATTCTTATCCCGGAAATGTCATATCTAAATATTGAAGAATATGAAAAAAGATGATGTTGTGAGTGACACAACTGATCTATAGTAAGTAGGTCCAATGTGTACTTGGCAGTTGATCTTTCATGTTCTTGAACTCTACTACTTCTGGTGATGATGTCTGCTGTTCCATTTAAGAGAAATTCTGTATGTTTCCTATATTATTTTTCCAGCTAGGACTCTCGGGCCTCCTTTTATTTTATTTTATTTTTTTAGTAAGTTTACTGAAAACTGTTACATTCCCTCTTGACACACAGCCTGCTCTTATGTTACAAAAGCAGGGCTCAGGGCCTGCAAAGCTGGAAATAAATACTAGCCCTTAGGTCTCTTACACATCTAACCCCTGCCCTTGTCCCTCCTTCCATTGAGGCTTCTCATCTTTGAGAAGTCAGCTTACAGTTCTTCCAATTTCTGGACGTTTTGGTTGTGAGCCTAACCTTTCATGGCTGAGCCATCTCTCCAGCCTGCCTCTTCCAATTTCTTGTTTTATAAGGGACTTTGCATTCCACATGAGTGAAATCCCAGATCTAAGATGACTAGGATTAACACCCTGCTCCTCTGCTTCAAAGCTCTGTGTTTTATTTCCCTCTTTACTTACGGCATCTGGAATCCTCTCCACTCTTGTGCTCACAAAGTTACATCACACACCTAACATAATTTTAATGGTGTTTGAATCAGAATGGTGGAGGTATTTGCTTTAGAGTATCTTAAATTTTTGTTTACCTTAAATAAAGGAAAAAACTCTTAACATCGAATTTTTATTAGTTCTTTGAAATTTTCAGATGTTTTAAAATTTACTATTATATTTTTGAGAATTTTACACATGAGGACTCTGTATCATTTCCACTCCCTTTTCCCCTCCAACTTCTCCCCACTTCCTCTCAGTTATGACCTCTTCTGTAATTATTATTTTTGCGTATCTATGTATAAATACCACCTGCTGAGTCTATTTAATATTGCTCATGTGTATATGTGTTTAGGACTTAGCACTTGGAATTAGACAACCTATCAGAGGGCTTGCCTCTGGAGAAGACCGATTCTCAACAGCCATTAATTGCCTATAATTCTTCATCTACGGGTAGGAGCCCATAAGATTTCCCCCATCCACACTGGCATGTCAGCTGGAGCTGCCATTGTGAAGATCTATTTTAGATGATTTTAACTAGCCTGCCATTTTTAGTTCCATTCGATCTAAAGAGAAATTGGAAGTTTTTTGAAAAAAAAAAGTATAAATACGATTTAAAAAAAGAACCCAAACTGTATGGATCAATAAAATCAAATTGCATCACCTTTAGAGATAAACAGATGCTTACTTTGGTTTCAAGAATATGATGAATGTAATGATGACCATACTGGTTAGTTTTTGTCAACTCGACCCAATTAGAGCCATCTGGGAAACAAGAATCTCAGCTGGGGAGTTGCCTCCATCAGACTGGTCTGTTAACATAACTGTGAGACATTTTTTCTTGACCGTGAATTGATGGAGAGCATAGCCCACCATGGGCCACCCCTGAATAGGTTGTCCTTGGATTGTTGAAGAAAGGGTAGCTGAATATGTACTTGGAAGCAAGCCAGTAAATACCTTTCCTCCATGGCTCTTGAGTCGGGTCCTGGTGGAGTTCCTGTGTTGACTTGTCTTTGTGATGGACTGTGGTTAGGATGTGTGAGGCAAATAAATCCTTCCTCCCTCAAATTGGTTTTGGTCAGTTTTTTATCCAAGCAATGATAAGCAAAGTAGGATGAAGGCATAGCACTATGAAGACTTAACACAGGAAGCTACTCAGGCCGTAGGGCAAATAAATATGATACAGGAATTAAGAATGCCACAGAATGTCTAAGTTAACAGCGTCTGAAGAATAGGAATTTCACTTACATGTTATACTCTTACTGAGGCCAGGGACGTTTTTCCTATGTCTTTGTTTATTCATTCATTCATTCATTTTATTGATTTTATTTTCAAATTTGTGATGTGTTCCCTGATGCAAGATAGTGTTTGCGGCATAGTTTATATCTACTTTGATATCTACGTGAGTGAACATATGTGTCTATGCCTGTGGGGCTCTTTCTTAAGCGACACTTGTCTGTCCACAGCCGTGGTGTGTCAGAAGGGCATGCTGTACCACCACTGTTCCTCGTTCTGCCGGCGTTCCTGCACCTCTCTCTCCTCCCTCGAGCAGTGCGACGACGAATGTGCGGAAGGCTGTAACTGTCCTGAAGGCAAATTCTATGAGGACACACTTAACTTTTGTGTGCCCATGTAAGTCACAGGGACGGCTCAACAACAGCCGGGTTTATGTCTGTTTTTCCTCCTGATAGGCCAAAGGAACTTTTGTGCTCGTTTCTTTAAATTGCTAAATATCTTTTCCCCCCCTTGTTTTATTATATACTTTTTTTTCTTAATGTGGTGAGCTACTCACAGAAAGCCTCAGAAAGCAGGGATGATTCTATTCTTACTTGATTTCTCCACACTCCAATTACTAGCAATTACATTTCCCTATTGGTAGGATGGGAGTGTCCATTCTTGCTCAGAAAGTTCTTAGCCCTCGGAGGAAGCAAAGACTTTGGTTTGCAGATGTAGAGTTAAAAGATGCAGCAGACGTGTTTTTCTGAAATGCATTTCAGTGACACTTCTTGGGACTAAACTAACAGTTCAGAATTATTTTGACCTTCAAACTCTGTAGCTACTATGTCTGGTTAGTTTCTGCCGTTTGTACATCAGGACTGTGGATGGTGGCAGTCTACAGTGGCCAGTTGCAGAGCAAGGAGTCAGCTGTCATTTCAGTTGTATTGGGAAAAAAATTCTGTCTTATTTTATTTACTTCACCTTTCCCCTTATAGATATCATTGCCGGTGTCATTATAGGGGGAGCATTTATCAGCCTGGGGAGCTTATCCCAACACCTTCAGGATTATGGTAGGTATCGATGAATATTATATATATTACATTAGAATGTGGAATAGGAAATTGCCTGAGACACGTACTGGTGAAACAAAAGCCCTTCAATAGGTTTTGGTTCTTTAGTAGATGCTAGGAATGGGGTAGTAATTCAGACTACATCCTGAGGGATTATGGGTTCATCGTTCATCTACTGGCTCAGAAAAAAAAATCAATTCTGGGATAGATCTGAACAGTAACATACATAGGGGTCACTTATCTTCTGATGTGTATCAAGCTTTGTTCAATAGCACTCATAGGATAAGACCCATTCCAGATATAACCTGTCTACTAAAAATACAGTCACACCCACATAGCAGGACCTATTTATCCACATCTATCTCCTAGTAGCCTCCTTATGGTGGCCCTGCAGGTGTTCACCGCTGATCCTCATGTATGGATAATGGTAGCAATCATATTGAACCAGAACTGTGTGTTTTCTATTATCCTGGAACTGTTCTGGGCATGCTGTATTTATGATCAATTAAGCACTCATGACTATGAACTGCAAGAGATAGGGTCTGCCATTTTCTTCCAGTTTATACAGAAGCAGAATGAGGCACATGTAGTTAAGCAACCTGATAAATAATGCTGGGATTTATGCCCAGGCACCTGGCTTGGCAGTGTTTGCTCTACTGCAGACCTTGCTTTACAGCTCATTTTGTATTGACAGTAAACTATCATTCACACTCAACTTTACCTTTATAATTATTTCCATCTCCTTCCCTGCCCCCCTGATTACAACACAAAGAAACCATTGCATCTTTTCTTGTGTAGAATGCACTACCTTCTACAGTTTCCTAAGCCAGAAATCTGAGAATCATTCTGACTCCCTTAAAAACCCTAACAACCTTGGATTTGACTTGATTTTATTTTCTTCGTGTAGGTGAAATCCATTCTTTCCTTCCCATCCCGGTGCCTTAACAATGACACTCACCTTCTCTTTCCTGCGCCTTTCTAAAAATTGTCTTTGCTTTACGTTGCTATAACAAAATACCAGAGGCTGGACACTATAAAGATTTACTTAGCTCAGTGTTACAGGAGTCCAAGAGCATTGGGGCCACAGGGAAGAGAGAGCCAAGGGAGCCAACTGCTCATAACAAACACCCTTGTAAACAGTCCAGTTCTGAGAGATTAATAATGATTCACTCCAGGTAATAAACATATTTATCTCTTTTAGAAGTAGTTCCCTGATGACCAAATCAATATGTGCCTTAAGCCTGACCTCTTAAAGTCTCTCCTTCTAAGAGCATCACTATGAGGACCAATCCTTAACACAAGTTTGGGAGTGAATAAATTATAACAAAACCATTGCAAACTGGTCTCCTGTCTGAGGTCCCCTTCCAAGTGTTGGAAGAGCCTTCTTTTGAATTTAATATCCTTAATATTGTTTAAGTTTAGTACAATTAAAATCCATCCTTCCTTAGTGCCAAAAATAAAGATAATTAGCGCTATGACCTTATCTGCTCCCCTGTCAAATGCCTCTGACCCAGGAGAAGTATGCTAAGAAGACTTGGCTGTCTCAGTTCCTCTGTGGTATTTGCCGTATGAATACACCTCTGAGTGACATTCTATTTCGAAAAATGTGGGCATGTGGTTTTCATGTGATGTGGACCTTTATATGTCAGTTCCTTCCTTTTGCAAGTATAGAGTCTGCTCTAAAGCCGAAGGGAAATCTGTGCTGGAGTCACTGAGGGACGGCCTGTGTTATGTTAACCTATTATGTTAACTTCTTGAGGAATTTGCGAGGTTCGTTTGTCTGTATATGGTTTTCCTCTTAATGTTACAACCAATCACATGGCACCTGTGACTCAATTCGTCTTCAGTGAGCTGCCCCAGGATGATTGTCTTAACATTCAAACTGACCATCTCACTTCTGTGTTTTAAAGACTTGGGTAGCTCGGCTCAGGAAATAAAAATCATCACATCAGAGCAGGGTCTGGCTTTACCACTTTTGCCCACCTTGTCTCCTGGCACCTGGTTAAGCAGAACAGTGCTTTGTATGTTGTAATTTATGTATTTCCACTGAACACTAGAATCTTTCTCTTCGATCTAAGTCTATTCTTCAGAATTGTTCTGGGTTAATTACCTCTGACTACCTAAATGTCAATTATGCACAGATTTTTAAATTTTTAATGTTTTTTAAATGTATTTTTGTGTTGAGTGTGTTACACTGTATAAATCAGTTGTGTCTTTACCCCCTGTTACTAGAATATAAACACTTGGACCAGTCTATTAACAATATTGTGATGTTTCTATCCTCTATCTTTCACAAGACCCCTTATATGGAGCTGTTTGATAAAATATGTCAAAAAGAAATGGCTGTCTTCTAGCTGGACAGAAGACAGTAATTTATTTGTATAAAACCCAAGGTTTGGGTCTATCAATTAACAATTTCTTTACTTCTAGCCAGTGTTCAAATGGGACTGTGAAGTGTGATGAGCCAGCAACGCCCTCTACTGGTGAGTTCCAGATAAAGAGCCTGTCTCTCAAACACTGCCTCTTACCCTTCTGAAGGAAGGCATCCAGTCCCTTCCATGCTTTCTTACCCAAGCACGTGCATATAGTAATATCAGGCAGTCAGCACAGTGTTCCAATGATTCCTGACTTTTTTCACATCAAGAATTGCAGAGTATTTGAGGGGCAGTAGGAGGTAAACATATAATGCTGTCTAGAGCAGTGGTTTTCAACCTTTCTAATGCTGTGACCCTTTAATACAGTTCCTCATTTTGCGGTGACTACCAACTATAAATTTTTTTTGTTGCTTCTTCATAACTGTTATTTTGCTACTATTATGAATCATAATGTAAATATTGTTGGAGAGAGAAGGTTGCCAGTGGGGTCCCGACCCACAGGTTGAAAACCACTGGCCTAGAGACACAGATGGTCAGTTGGGGCATGTCACCTTTATACTGTCTACCCCAGAACCAACTCAGGTAGCCAACAGGCTTTAGGGATAACACCCAGATTCTGGTTGTAACACAGTTGTGGATCAGAAATCAGAAAACTCTATCCTAGATCAATACTTCTCAGCTTTAATGTGTACACAACGGACTGGTGATCTTGCTAAGCCTTAGGTTCTGATTCTGATTGAGAAGCAGTACCAGAACTTCTGAATGTCTACCCACAGCCAAGGTAATGTCAGTGCTCCTGGGGTCTGGGGTGTGTTTGGGTAGCATGGTCCTAGTATTAGTAGAAGTGAATTGAAAATAGCATGGAATAAGAGCACGGCGTCAACACTCCTATAGTCCATCACTGAGTGGGTGGAGGCAAGGCAATCCAGATTTTAAGGTCAGATTCAGTTATGCTGAGTTAGAAGCAAACAGGACTTGTAAGTAAGACTCTGTTATAAAAACGAAAAATAGAAACAATAGGTTTATAAAATATATCCATTGCCATTTCCTTTAGGATGCTACTTTCCACTAGGAGTATATATCCTGAAGATCTTCAAGTCAGAGAACTAACTGTATGATTCTGTATTTTCATCAGATGAAGAAATAGCCCCAGATTTTCAGTGACTACAGAAAAATTCTGGGCAAATGACAGTTCTTGGTTTTCATTCTGTTAGATAGTGAGATGTAGGCTCTGTTACTTATTTGAATACACAACTATATATCATTATAAATCAGCTTGGAACTGAACATAGTGACATATATCTCTCTACTCCCAGTTAAAGAGGATAAAGCAGAGGCAGGAATTACAGACCAACTTGGGCTTGATAGTGAGACCCGTCTCTTGGAACACAAAATAATAAGATGTCCTTTGAATTACATGTTCTAGATTTACCTTGTCAAGATTTAGGTCAGTCTGGGGCTTCTCTACAGGCTACGCTACAGGGCCTCACAATGAACATGGTAGCTACTGGGAATCCTCACTATGCGCCTCTTACTTAAAGGCAGCTCGTAGTTAAAGCAAGGATGCCTAGGCAGCCTGCTTTCTCTATGGAATCCTCACGATTCTATCCTTCTGATCCTATGTAAGTGTCTTATTTGATTCCTGACAGATCCAAAGCTTTCTGGAGAAGCAGGAAGTCCCCATCATGCCTCTATAACAGTGGCCACTTCTATACTTACAGTATAGTAAAAACTGATAAAAATAATTATTCATAGGCCAGGCAAGGTCAAGAAGTTACATGCATTTATTATGGCTTCATAAGTGTTAAAATATGTATTATAGTTTTCAGCCCTTAAAAAATTGGTGTTTGAGCAATTCTTGAATGCCTTTTAGCCATTTGAGATTTTTCTGTTGAGAGTTCTCTGTTAAGCTCTGTAGCCAATTTTTTAATTGGATTGTTCAGTTTTTTTTTTTTTTTTTTTTTTGAGCTGAGGATCAAACTCAGGGCCTTGCGCTTGCTAGGCAAGTGCTCTACCACTGAGCTAAATCCCCAACCCCAATTGTTCAGTATTTTGATGTCTAGCTTTTTGAGTTCTTTATATATTTTGGAGATCAGCCCTCTGTCAGATGTGGGATTGGTGAAGATCTTTTCTAGGCCCTCTGGATATGGAAGACAGTTGTTTGGCTCGAACTGTTTGGGGGGTACCCAGGCAGGGGGATCGGGATCTGTCCCTGGTCTATGGAAATGCTTCTGGAACTTGGTGCCTGTGGTGTGACACCTTGCACAGCCTTGGTGCAGTGGGAAGGGGCTTGGACCTGCCTAGGCTCAGTATGCTGGGCTCTGCTGACTCCCCATGGGAGACCTCAATTTGGGGGATGTGGAGATGTAGGGTGGCTTGGGAAAGAGGGCTGGGGGATGGGAGGAGGGAGGAGGGGGGATCTGTGGATAGTATGTGGAGTGAGTAGAACATTTCTTAATAAAGAAAAATGATAAAAAAAAATTGGTGTTTGAATTAATCAACGTACCCTGTTTTTGTACTTCAAGAAATTATATGCTAATTACTTATTGAAGTGCCAGGGAAGGTGGCTAAGATTTTCAAGTTTGGAATAGCTTTTGGAAAGTTTGATGACCAGGCAGACTCTGGCTAGGTAATGTTGATAAGCTCATCCACTCAAGGATCACAGCATGAGAACATCCTTTAGTTATAGCGATACTCTGGTCTATGGATTTTTTTCCGGATGGTTTGTGCATAAGACTGTGAAGCAAATACAAAGTTAAAGCCATGTTATCTCTAATCCATGCTTCTATCTGAAGTCCCCATCTGCCCAGAAGGGAAGGAGTACTTTGACTGCAGGTTTCCTGACCCTGAATTACCAGCTGGTGGTATAAATTGTGAGACCACGTGTGCAAACCTGGCCATGAACTTCACCTGTGCTCCATCCTCACCCTGCATAAGTGGCTGTGTTTGTGCTTCGGGGTGAGTTCCCTTATCTTGCTAATACAATCCTCCAAGATTTACAGGAAAAGTAAGGTCTCTTAAAAATATTCTTGGGGCCAGCTAGATGGTTCAGTGGTTAATAGAGCTTGCCTTGGGTGTCTAACGACCTGAGCTGGATCCCTGGAACCCACATAGAGGTGGAAGGAGAGAGCTGATTCCATATTCAAAGCATGACACACTTAGGTCCATGTATACCTATCACACACACACACATATGCACACACATACTTACTTAAAAATAATTTAAAACTATTTTTTACAAGAATAGCTAAAATCTTTGTTTTGACCAGTGGTTAACTTTGCGTTGGTAGCTGCCAGATTATTGTAACTATTTTGCTCAGCTAATTTAACATTGTGCAATATCACTAGAGTCATGCACTGAATTGAAGAGAGAGCACATTTTAAGATAAGGTTGGGATTTCTCCCTTTTCAGCTACAGGTTTGGAAAAAGTGACACAATCAGTCACCTTCACTCAAGGCACCATCTAGGTATACATCACACACACACACACACACACACACACACACACACACACACATATATATTCCACTGATGCAGTGATTGTCATTGACATTAATTTGTAATAGTGAAGCCAACTGATTTAATTATAAACATTGAAGGTAACTATATTGAGGCTAAACAGGAGGTTGCTTTTAAGTGGGTACTCTGACCTCATTCACAACAGAGCTCCAATTCCAGCTCTGCCACTGTTAGTTGAATGATTTTTCTACACATTCCTCTTAAGCCCCAACTAGGCAGGCATTGTACGATCTTTAAGATATTATAAGGTAAGTGTATGTGCATGTGTGTGTAGAGTGTATTCAATATATATGAATCACAATTTAGTTGCAGGCTATCTATTCTTCATACATTTTTTTCTGCTGTAGAAATACCACATACTTGTAACAGACATAGAATCTGGAGGCTGTTTGCTTCCTTATCAGCACTCATACAATCCGTTCTCCCTGGCTCTTGCTTGTCTAATGATGAATAGAGGGAGGACCATCTCAGGTAAACAGGTCACTCTTTCTTCCTCAATGAACACATTTTACAAAGACATTCCCGGGATCAACTCATAAGAAGCAAGAGCATAGGAGGGGGAGGGCTTGTGGTTTGCCTCCTGGGAGAATCACCTTTGTCTAAATGGCTCCAAAGAGTCAAGTATCAGGGAATGGTGTCAATCTGTTGAGAGAAGAAGGGCACATGAGGGAGAGAAAGAAGGTCACAATAAACAAGAGCCCAACATATGTGAAAAATAAAGACGGGTGGAAACCAGACCAGAGAACAAATGAGCAAGGAAAACAATTTGTCTACAGGACAAGGGAAAGAAAATGTTTATTGTGGCCCAATAATTAAAACCTACAATATTGCTTGATCTGTTTGATTGTGACTGTTGGGATGCATGGCCGATTAAAGCCATATCTAAACTTTATTTCCGTGTCTGATGCTGTTTACTATTACCTTTGGCTTCCAGTTCACACTTGACATTTCTTTCCTGACTAACCTTATTAAGAAACATAGAGAAGTGCCATCCTTCCTTCCTTAATAGTATTGAAATAGATAGAGCTAGAAGCAACCAAGATGCTTCTGGTTGATTGAGAAAAAAGAAAATGCGAACAGAAACACTTCTAGTAAAAAGTCGATGATGGTAATTAAGTTATCTTCTCTTCAGTGTGACCTTTTCTGGCTCATGTTGAGACAATACCTTAGTATATCATGTATTTTCCCAGAGATCCTGACAGGGTCAGGGCTATAAAAGGTCTATAGGGACCTAGTTTAGAAATCACTGCACTGAAATAATGCAAAATAGAGGAAAAGTCAATATAAAGGGTTTCAGATATTGGCCATCCTTATTAAATAACCTTGGGGCAAGTTGCTCAGTTTCAATTTCTTTTAAAAATGAGTGCAGTGGTATTTGTTTCATGGATGGCTGAGTACATCATAACACATCAGTTATATGGTAGGTGTCTGGTCAGTGTTTATTACATCTCTCCTCCCTGCCAACCAAAGAGGCTGTGTCTTCCTCCTCCTGCTCCCGGTTTTTAATTATGTATGAAAAACTCATCAGTCATCCACATAACCAGTTAAGACTATTGCTTTGTCTGGGTCTTCAGAGATCATGGTCCATTTGACTGAAACAACTAAGGTTAATGAAACAGTATTTTGGGGAAGAGGGTTGGGAGGAGGCATTAAAATACACACATAAGATGAAAACGGAATTTACTATAGTGCATTATCCTTAGGCTAAAATGAGTCTGTGACATATTTTAAGGTAGTGTCTGTACAAGAGTAAACAAAGGTACTCACTTTTGTTATTGGGGTCTTTTTCACTACATCCAATCAAATATTTAGTTCACTGCGATTAATCCTCTATGAAAAGTTTACACACATTGTTACGTACTGAGGTGGTGAGGAAGTTAGGGACAAAGAAGACCGACAGAAAAGAGAGAATTAAGTGAGACTTAAACAATGAGAAGAATTTTACAAAAAGAACCAAGATTTAAAGTCAAGAAGATGACAAGTTTGGAAAAGTGAGGTGAGAGTGTGAAACCCAGGGAATAGCTGATTACTAAGAAAGAAACTGAACCAGACAATGCATCCTTTACACACATATGCTGTGGGATATTCTGTACGGCAAATGTGTTGCTGATTAGTCAATAAATAAAACACTGATTGGCCATTGGCTAGGCAGGAAGTGTAGGTGGGACAAGGAGGAGAATAAAGCTGGGAAGTGGAAGGCTGGGTCAGAGAGACACTGCCAGCCGCCATGATGAGAAACAGCATGTGAAGATGCCGGTAAGCCACAAGCCATGTGGCAAGGTATAGATTAATGGAAATGGATTAATTTAAGCTGTAAGAACAGTTAGCAAGAAGCCTGCCATGGCCATACAGTTTGTAACCAATATAAGTCTCTGTGTTTACTTGGTCGGGTCTGAGTGGCTGTGGGACTGGCAGGTGAGAGAGATTTGTCCTGACTGTGGGCCAGGCAGGCAAACTCTAGCTACACACATACATTTCTTTATCCATTCTTTCTCAACAAAGAAGTTTATTCCATGGCTAAACGATAACAAATATCATTGTTCTCTTGAGTAGAGTGTCAAGTCTAGCAGACTGTGTACACCGATAAGGAAGCACTACACTGTATACGCAGAGCTATGAGGACAGCAGAGGTCTAAAAGCATGAGTGGTTATTTCTGATGAGGGAATTGGTAGGAATTCAGGGTTTAAAACTTTGATGATAATTTTTTTTATTGTTCTGAGAATGGAATCCAGGATTTCATACATTTAGGCAACATATATATATATATATATATATATATATATATATATATATGGATGTAAATCCTCAGCCCTATGTTTTATAACATTGGATTATAGCATTTTTAAGAAAATTCATTAAAAAATGCATTCTATATATTTTAGTAATGGTATAATTTATCATTTGACTATTGTTTTATTAAAACTATTTAATCAATTACTTATTCATATAAATATTGATATTAATTATCAAGGTTCACATAAATGTTACGTTTTAGTGACTTCATTATATATTTAAATAGTATTTAGAACATATTATCATTATATTTATTATATAATACTTGTTAATTATTTCAGTTTATATATAATATTTTGGGGAAAATTTAAGAATATTGAAAAATTATATTTATATTTACAATGAGGGTATTAGAATATATGTGTAGTCTATGCAATACAGATTTATTTAATCTTAATACTATAATATTTTGGTAGCATACTATTTCTTCCAATATTATGAATTTCAATTATTATATTAATATTAAATTATATATTCTAAACATTTTGTAGTATTAGACATCTTTAGATAGTTTTTTTCTGGGATAATTTTTTAAGAAGGAGGTAATACTTCAAAGCAAACATTCAAAACAGCATATTAATATAAAGGAACATGAAATACTTGACATATTTTCATTTAAATACACCCAAATCAAACTGTCATGATTTTATATCTTAGCACTGAGAAACAAGCTTGTTTGCTCTCTAAATCCTTTAGCAGAAAACATTATTGATGCCATAACTTACTATTTCACCAGGAACTGTTAGACAACATGGCCTCTTTTAGTAGCTAATAGTGATGACTGGTCACCTATTTTCTCTTCAAATGTGCTTTTTCTAGAACAACCCACCATGTTAGAAACATACACTTCGGTTTTATATTCGTTATGCTACATAACAAAAGGTCAAACCATATCTGATCATGTGCTTGGCATTTAGTTAATACTGTGATACACAAGGGGAAAAAGGGGGAAGACCTTTCCTTGTGGGGAAAAAGGGGGAAGACCAGATTCATTTTCCAAGGCAAAACACAGGGTTGGATATGATAAAATTGTAGACTTAAAGCCCGCCTGACACCTGCAGTTTTCTCTGATCCTGCTACCTTTTCATTTGGAAGGATGGCAGAACACAGAGGGAGATGCTATGTTCCTGACAGCTGTCCCTGCATCTGGAAAGACTGGGAATACGTCTCGGGGGAAGTCATCTCTACGCCGTGTTACACCTGGTAAGAATGGTCATTTATTCCACGGAAGTTTTCCTTCAGCAAATGTATTCATTTCAACTGTTTGACTGACATGACTGGACGTGTCTGATTAGCAAAAGGGAATCATAATCAAGCTTGTGCTTATTAGAGCTGGAGGCCACTGGGAGTTGAGTAGCTAATTTCTACGAGGGGACCATGGCATTTTCAATGCATGTTTGTTAGCCTAGAAGCATGAAATATCACACTTTGGCAACAATAGGAGAAACATCACAAGCTTATAAGAAAACGCTAAGTGTTACAAAGAGAAGGCCTTATTCAATAGAAGCTTTCCTGTTTGGAAGTCAACGAGCATAGTGTCACAAAAAATTATTTTTTGCTAAAATTTCCTTAAAATATATTCAAGTATTCTAAAATTTCGATTGTAGAATCTTGAATATAAAAGTTTCATTCTATTATCTATTTTCTGTGTGCCCCAGACTTAGTTTTGGTGTCCGATACTATAAATGTACATGACAAACTTGTCACTGTAAAAGGCATTATCAGAATGAATTGGCAATATTTATAAGGATTATTGCCTCCAAATGCTTCTGAGAACAAATGTTTAGGCTACTTGAAAATTGCCAGTGCTGCAGTGGTGCTTCTCAGTAGAGCACTGGCTGCTCTTTCAGAGGACCCTGGTTTGATTTCCCAGTTCCGGGGATCCAACACTCCCTTCTGGCATTCACAGGCACTATGCACACACATAGTGCACAGAAATACATACAGGCAAAGCATCTATACACGTAAAATACAAATACTAATTTGAACCTAATTTCTCTGTAAGATAACTCTTGTTATTTTTTTAATAGTGTTTGTCGGCGGGGGATGTTCAATTGCACATATTATCCATGTCCTGCTGTATGCACAGTCTATGGGGACCGGCATTATTATTCCTTTGATGGGTTGGAATATGACTATATCAGTGATTGCCAGGTTTTTTTGATAAAGGTTAGTCATAACTACTTTTTGCTTGAACTTGCATGAAGACAGTGTGAAGAACAGCATGTTGTTCATGGCGTATCACATTAGTTTTTAGCACTAATAAAACTTAAGAAAGCTGTAGTCATTTCCAACTGATTTCTTCAGCTTTAAACTCATTTTAAGTTTTCGTGTTCATACAGGATAGACTAATTCTTCAGCTCCATGCCTTTTGCCTTGTCTGTGAAATGAAGATAATGATTATACCTAGCTCCATGGATAGAAAGGGCATGATTACACAGTAATTGCTCATTAAAGATAAATTATTTTAATTATTGTTAGCTTGGTGTGACAAATATACATATAACACATTAAACCATATATCTTATCTTTATGAACATATAAACCAAGAGAGATTATTTTTGGTTCTAGAAATGATATATTGATGTCATCTTTTGGCAGATTCCTGGATTTGTATGTCTGAGAAAATCTTGAAATTTCTCATATGTCTAAAGTGTATAGATAGAAAAGATAACCTACATGGATATTTTTTTAGCCAGCACCAATCTCAGAATTAAATTTCTAAATGAAAAACTGTGATCTTTCTAGTGGGGTCACTCAAGAACAGTGGAATGAACATCATCTACCAGCAAATAAATATGTGGTTAATGTATTTTTCTGGGCATAGCTTTTATGCCACATTATGCTTATGTGTGATTCTGCCCAATGAGCCTTTCTCTAGAAAGTAGAGTAATAAGGTCTATTTCGAATAGTTCTACAAAATAAAAATAGAGAAACTTTAATGACGCTTTTGCTTATATATTAAAGAACTGACGTTCCCTATGAGCCCTTGTTTCACAAGTCCCATAGTAAGCATCATTGAATTACCATTCATAAAAGGGGCTGCCCTTTCTGAATGACTTTAAATTTCTTATAGAAAAATGGTAATTGATTTGGTATTATATAATTATAACGTCTATCAAGTGTGTTTCTATTTCTTAATTAATTTTTTTATTTTTTAAATTTCATGCATGAGTACTGCCTTTACATAATTTCCACTTTGCCCTCTCCCCTCAAACTGCTCTTATATCCCTCCCCACTCTTTGTTAAATTTACTACCTTTTATTTAATTAGTTTTTATGCACACACACACACACACATAAATACAGCTTGCTGAGTTCATTTAACGTTACTTATATGCTTGTGTATTTAGGGCTGACTCATTGCAGCTAGATAATGTGTCAGGGGGCTCTTCCCTAGATAAGACTGCTTCTCCCTGTGGAACTTTATCTAAGAGTAGGACCTAGTGAGATTCATACCACCCACAGTGCACTTCAACTAGATTTGTCGTTATTCAGGTTTTGTTTAGCGGACAGAATTTTTGAGAGTTCACGTGGGCAGTTTTTCTGTCATATACAGAAGACACTAGCTCACAGCAGATGTCTTGGTCCTCTGGCTCTTACAATACAATCTTTCTACTGCAATTATTTCTGACTTTTAGGTATGGGGGTTGTGTTGTAGATCAATTGATCAGGGTTGGACAACCCACGGTCAGTTGTTCTCTGTAGTTTGATCACTGATGGCTCTCTGTAATGATCTCTGTCTACTGCAAACAAAGTTTGATGAGGAACGGGAGCTACATGTATCTGTGGGTATAAGGATACATATTCAACATGGAGCTAGAAATTTTATTTTTTTTTTAATAAAGTGGCAGCAATGTGTTCTCCTCTTGATTTTGTGGTCTCATTAGCCACTTGTAGTTGGCAAGTTTTACAGGACCAGGCAAGAATTCCCTCCTATTTAGTGTGCCTTGAGTCTAATTTGCATAATTTCTACCACCAAACTGTTATCTCTAATAGGTAAGAGGCATTATTGTACCCTTGGGATATCTTACTTATAGTGGTCATTGTTGTTTATAGGCTTTATATTTGGGTAGAACTATTGGTTACTTTTCTTCCATTCAATTTGCCTACCATCTCTGGACACTAAGTGTGCTGGCTAATTTTATGTCAGTTTGACAGAAGCTATAGTCATCTGAGAGGAGAGGGCTTCAATTGAGAAAATGCCTTCATAAGATTGGGCTTTAGGCAAAACTATAGGGCATTTTCTTAATTATTGGTTGATGAAGAAGGGCCCAGACAATTGCGGGTGGTGCCAACCCTGGGCTGGTGGTCCTAAGTTCTTTAAGAAAGCAGGCTAAGCAAGCCATAATAAGCAAGCCAATAAGCATCACTCCTCCATGGTTTCTGCATCAGCTCCTGCCTCCATGTTCCTGCCCTGTTTGAGTTCCTGTCCTGACTTCCTTCAGTGATGAACAGTGATGTGGAAGCTTAAGCCAAACAAACCTTTTCCTTCCCAGGTTATTTTTGGTCATGGTGTTTCATCACAGCATAACAACCCTAGGACACTATGAGAGCTAGTCTTCAGGAAGAAGGTTTCTAGATCAGTTCCGGCTCAGTTCTTCAAATCCTGTGTCTGAAGTGTGTAGTGTCTCCAGCAATAGGGTCTTACCTTCAAGGACTGGGAGGCAACCGATCATCTTTACTGTTTCGCGAGTCTCGTGATCTCCTGAGCAGCATCTCAATTAAACATCCTTTGTGTTGTTTATCCCTCCTTCTTCCCTCACTGTACTGGTCTCCCTCTTCCCATCTTTCCCATTCCTCTTCACAGCACCAGTGTCCAGCTACTCCGTGTCTTCAGCTCCTGCTTTCCCAACCACCATGTTCTGCTTTACTGAACTCCACAGTTACTCCAGGATATATACTTACATCCATTAATATTCAGAACTAGGATTCCCATAAAAGCGAGAATATGTGGCATTTGTCTTTCCAGGACAGGGTTGACTCAGTCAGTATAATATTTTCTAGTTACATCCATTTACCTTCAGATTTTATGATTTTAATTTATTATGGCTGAATAGAACAGCTATGTATAGTTGCTACACTTTCATTATTCATTCATCAGTTCAAGGGCATTTAGATTGTTTTTATTCCCTAACTACTGTAAATAGAACAGCAGTGAACATGACTGAGCAGGTATCCCTAGAGTAGGGTATTTAGCCCTTTGAATATGTGCCAGGGAGTGATATATCTGGATCATATAGTAGATCTATGCTTAACATTTTGAGCACTCTATACAGTGAATTCCAGAGTTGCTGCACCAGTATGCAATCCCACCAACTGTGTTTCCCCTTGCCCCAGATTCTCTCCAGCATCTGTCATTAGTTGTTTTCTTAAATTTAGCCATTCTTTTTGGGGTGAGATGAAATCTCAAAATAATTTTAATTTTTCAGTTCCCCAATTACTAAGGGTGTTGAACACTTTTTGAAATATTTCTTAGTTATTTTTTTATTTCTTCTTTTAGAACTCTTTGTTGAGATCTGTGTTCATTTTAATTGGGCCATTTGTTTTCATAATTCTTTTATTTTTGAATTCTTCATATATTCTAGATGTTAATCCTCTCAGGTGGATAGTTTGCAAAGATTCTCTTCCACTCTGTCAGTTGTCTCTCCACCTTACAGACTATTTGCTTTGTTTCATAGAAACACTCTAGCTTTGTGAAGTCCCATTTGTCAATTTCTTGGCCTTAATTTCAGAGCAAATGAAGTCCTATTCAGAAAGCCCTTTTCTATACCTTGATCTTCTTAGGTATTACCTATATGTTCTTCTATCAGTTCCCGGGTTTCAGGCTCCACTTTGAAGTCTTTGATCAACTTGGAATTTATTTTTTTCTTCGGGGTAATAGTATGGTTTTAACTTCATTTTTCTACGTATGAACATCCAGTTTTCCCAGCAGTGTTGGTTGGAGATGATATCTTTGTTGCAGTGTGAATTTTTGGCATCCTTGTCAAATATCAGAAGGCTATAGCTGTACGCACTCATATTTGGGTCTTCTATTTTCTTCCACTTGCCTGTATGTCTGTTTTTGTGACAGTACCATGCTGTTTTTTTTTTTTATTACAATAGCTCTGTAATGTAGCTTGAAATCTTGTATGGTAATCCATCCCCCCAGCACTGATTTATTCTCCCAGTCTTGCTTTGGCTATTTAGGGTCTTATATGGTTCCACAGGAAGTTTAAGATAATTTTTTTCAATTACTGTGAAGAATATTGCAGAGATCTTTATTGGGATTACATTGAGTCTATAAATTGCTTTTGGTAGACTGTTCATTTCACAGTATTCATTTTACCAACCCAGGAGCATGGGAGGTCTTTTTTTTTTCATCTAGTGTCTTTTTCAATTTTTTTTTTAAATTAGAGATTTAATTGTAGAGGCCTTTCACTTCCTTGGTTAAGTTTACTTCTAGATATTTTAATTTCATAGGCTGTTGCGAATGGGATCTCTTTCTCAACCTATTTGTTATTGAAATATAGGAAGGCTACTAAGCCAATTTTCTCTCCCTACTTTGCTGAAATTATTGCTCATTTCTCCATGTTTTCTGATGGAACTTTGGGGATTCTGCTATGTAAAATGTCACATCATCTGCAAAGTGGAACATTTGAGCTCTTTTCCTACTTGTATTCTTTATTTTTCTACTCTTGTTTTATTGCTCCAGATCAGTGATTCTCCCTCTCCCTAATGCTGCGACCCTTTAATACAGTTCCTCATGTTGTGGTGACCCCAACCATAAAATGATTTTTGTTGCTGCTTCATAACTGTAATTTTGCTGCTGTTATGAATTGCAATGTAAACATCTGTGTTTTCGGATGGTCTTAAGTGACCACGGTAAAAGGGTCCATTGACTCCCAAAGGAGTTGCAACCGACAGGTTGAGAACCACTGTTCCAGATAGTATCTTAAAATGGAGTGGGGACAGTGGACAGCCCTGTTTATCCCTGACTTTAATGGGATTGCTCTAAATTTTCTCCATTTATGATGCTGTTAGCTGTGAGTTTGTCATATGTAGCTTTTATTATGTTGACTATGTTCCCTTCAATTAATAAGGTAGACACCTTATTAACTATTGATCAGAAAATTCTATGGTTATCATTTTTTTGGTATGTGTGTTGTTTGATGTTTGGAGCACGAGAAA